GGGAGGGACACTGTCTCTTCCTGGGTTGTAAAGGGGGGAGGGGACTGTGCCTTCCTTGAGGAAACTCTCACCAGTTCTACAGCTGGGACTGTCCTTGTACTGCTGAGACATACAGATCAATATCACAGCTGCCTTCTCCACTGCATGCGCCATAGCCTCTAGGGTAGAGCCAGCTGGAATGAGGATCAGAGGCTTAATGAAAGTATAGAATAATGCATATTTAAGCTTATTCTAAAAAGGCATAAAATCATGTGTTTTTACTATCTGAGGTACTTCAAAAATTTTACAGCCAAAGTCAAATATTGTGTGCTGAACTAGTAAAATGGCAAATATAAAATGTAAGCACTTCTTAAAATCAATGCAATTTTACTGATCAAAAGAAAAAAGTTGGTTGACCTAGTCTGATAAATAGTGTAGAGCCATGGGAGAAAGTTGTAAAAACTGAAAATCCTGAAAACGTAGATTGCAATTTTTCTTACTACATTTAGACCATATGAAAAAAAAAAGGATCAATTTGAAAGACTTAAAACCCGGAAAGTCTTTTTCTTTTTCTGGCCAAAAGGGCAGTTCTTTCAAATGCCCTGACTCCCCCTTAGCTATGGCTCTATCAACTCACTGAGCCATCCCCGGTTCTCACTTACTCATGTGATCCACATCCATCCAGACCTTGTATCCACATGTTCTCAGGTAGTCCCTCACTCTCAGCATGGTGGGCTTAGAACCCCAGTTGTAGCTGATCATGACATGTGGGGCACCACCATTATCATCAGCATCACCATCTGAAAATATATACCAACTGTTAATTAACTTATCATAACATGTGGGGCATCACCATTATTATCAGAATCACCCTCTGAAAATCGAATTGTGATTTAGAGCGGAGCTTGACAGGTCAAAAGGGAGGTTCTCTCACTCCCCCCCCCCCCCCCCCGAGCCCTGCTAATGAATCTGTAAACATTATAATTGAGATAAATTATTTCTAAATCTTCCATCACCAAGAAGACTTACCCTGAGTGTATTTGACATCTGCTTCACCTGGCTGCATATTTGCTTTCTCCGCTAGCTTGTCCTGTATTACCCATAATGCTCCTCTTGCTGACTGACTGATATCGTCTATTGGACTGGCGGCAGTCCTTTCTAGTACTAAAATACACATAAAAGACAATAAATATATTACTTGGTTTCACAAAAAGAATGTGTAAGTTTGTACCAAAAACACCGTAAGGCTGACTCTGGGATGTTGATCAGAGGAACAAATGTGGCCATACGGCGTAAAGTGGTATGAACTGTTTAACAGATAAGACAAGAAATAAGAGACAAGAAACACCACAAAAACTGAAAACAAAAAATTTTCCACACTCCTGGCCACTGCCACTGTGTATGGGTGCCAAGAGTGGGGAATGTCCTGTGCCTCTCTTGCAGTACTAAGAACACACACTAGCTATGCACACCCCATGGGGTTATCTCACATTTTAATGAGTGAATGAATAAAAAAAGTAAATGAATATATGAATGAATTATATCAATAAATAGATACATGAACAGATGAATGAACAAATCAATTGAAATATTGCATATTGTAAAAATCTATGTTCAACTTGTTATTACTCAATATAATTTAATGCTTCAATCCTATAATTGTAATCCTATCTACTGAGTGTATATTTTATTGAAACAATAAATCTCATTTTCACACAAGTAACAAGGAAAATTCTTCAAAAAACATCAATTTGAAAAAGGACATCTCCACTGCTGCCCCACCTTCCATTAGGCCTGGTTCATCTCGTATCTTCTGTTTATTTTCCTCACTGAAGGCCAGAGTCCAGACACACTGGGCCGCCAGGACTTGCTCCTCCTCCGAATTCTCCGGCCTCAGAAGCTGGACGCAGCTCGGAAGAATACCTCCCTCCACCAATTTCTCTTTGTTTGCATCATTGGAGGCCAGTTTGTTCAAGGCATGCAGTAGCTCACTTGTTCTATACCCAGATTTCACAGAATAGTGCTTGTCATTTGCTAATGTGCCTTTTAACAGCTCAATCATGAAATGAATATTAGCATCACTGGCATTCAAGATATCATTTTCAGCTTCAGTCGTAATGTAAGCCAAAACAAAAAGAGTTTTGGTTTTAATTGTCAAAAAAGTCGTTTGTAGAAATCTGGATAATATTTCAAGGGTATTTGCATTTCTAAATACTTGGGCACTTTCTGGAACGTTTTGGGAGATATTATGGTACATTCCCAAAATGGCCTTTACCAGAAAGCGTGAGTAGTCAGTGGTTAACTCGTTGGGTGCCAGGCGCTCATCCTGCAGGATTCTTAACGTGAGTTCAATGATTCCTACTTCTATAGCCTTTGTACAGCATTCGGGTCCCCTATCAGTACAGTTCCATATGATCCCCATGGCAACCTTCATGTTCGTCATAGCATCCGCTGACCCTGAAATAACAAAGAACACACATCTGCAATATTCTATCGAGAAAGAATTCAGTTTTTTTCTTTGATCAACAGCTAAATAATGAAATTGATTATCTCCAATACTTGAAAAAAAATTACTTTTTTCTTATAACATAACACAGTTGATGAAATTCTTTTCTGAGCTACTGAAAAAGTATTCAAATCTATTTATCTCACAGAAGTCACTAAAATGCAAGATTTACACTAAGTCTAGCTTATTAGTAGTTTCCATATATTTTCATAAATAATATTTAAGCTAAAATGAAGTAAAAAACATTCAAATATCCTTGTATCCATTTATTATGACTTGACCTGAAGATGTGAATAAATAAATAAATAAATAAATAAATAAATAAATAAAAAAAGAAAACCCATAATACTTAAATGTCACGAACAAAGTATATTGTTTACCTTCAAATAAAACTTCTCCCCCATTCTCTTCAAAGCTCCACTTCAGAAATCTAACAAAAAATTCTCCATAATGAGAATCCATTATTTTCTTCCTTTGTACTTTTACAGACTTTGGGGCAAAGGAAGTCCTGGTTCTATTGGACAAGTATCTCATTTTCCCCGTCAGTTCACTGGTTTTGAAGACTTCTAGATCCGCATCCCGCAGAAGGTTTACCCTTTCCTCAATCCCTGCAAGGCATTCTTCCAGAGTTTCTTTTGGCTTCTCATCCTAATAATGAATTATCAACAACAACATTACAACAATACATAACTTAATCATAATTCATATCTAACAGACATAAGCCCAGGTTAAAAAATAAATGAACAGATTTTATTGGAGATCTTGACGAATCTCAGGAACCATCAGAATTCTGTGTTTCCGTGGAAAAACTCATGTCTGATCTAAGGCTGTGTTCAGGATTGATTTTAATGATCTAAGGCTGTGTTCAGGATTGATTTTAATGATCTAAGGCTGTGTTCAGGATTTATTTTAATGACATGTAACTCTAAGAAGGAGGCACTTTGATTGCTTTAAGCCTTGAAAATTTAGTGTCTGACCAGGATGTGATATAATCATAAATAGAATATTGCAAAAAGAAAAGCTTTCCACCCTCCCCCGTACCCCTGCTGTCTGCCATTTGTTCAGTTTTGGTCTCTCCGTCTTGTTGTCATCATCACTGTCGCCATCTCCATTACCATCAGGCTTGGTAGCAGGCACTTGGGTGTTCCCTGGATCTTTCACATCCCCATTACCTATCTTTCTGTCTGCCAGTTCTTTTTCTGAGGAAGGATCTTCCTTAACCTTTGATGTATTCTCATTATCTTTGGTAGACTCCATGGTTTTGGAAATTGGTCCCTGGTTTAAAAAAAGGTATCAAATTTATTCTTAATTTCGTGATCAAGAGTTTAAATTACATGAAGTCTACACTACAGTCAAAGTGGAAATTGTTGGATTCTAATGCAATGGTGAAGTCAGGCCAGTAATTTCTATGAATTTTGCAAATTCATCTGCCCAAATGAGCCAGCAATTATCTTTAACTTATTTCCTCTAATATGTATGTGTATTTCTGACATGTAAATTACTTTTTGCATATCAATAATTATACGCTTTTCTTTTTAAATTTCATTGCCATAGTTGTTCTGGGCAATGAAAAACTGTTGAAACACCTAGATGTGGCCCAATATCATGTATTTTAGAACTTAAAAGTTTAGGAGATATATTTGTGTCTGTAAAACCTTGGCTGCAAAGATCTAGATATCATCAGGACCATACTAGTAAGCTTGCAGCACAGTTAGAATTTTCAACATTTCTTTGTTCAAAAAAATTTCAACATGGTCTAAGTGAGGCATGTATGTTTTTTTTATCACTAAATCAAGATGATTCTAGTAATTTGATATTTTTCTACTATATTTTACATCACATTTATCATTAATTTGTTTCAAAGTTTTTTTCCAGCAAAAAATATCCCTCTAAAAGGCTATAAGAGCATTTAATCTTTAAGTGATCCCATTGGGGTTGAATTCCCAAGCCTGACTAATTCGGCAAACCCAAGACAACATACATGTTGAGTAAGGAAGCAATCTCGAAAACTAGGTACAGAATTACATACAAAATAATATGTCTACTAAATAACTTAACAGGGTTTGCTTACTCAACATATTTATGGTTTAGAAGTTCAACTCCTTGTTTAACATTTCTATGACCCATTCCTATACCTAGATTGATCTAGCATGATTGACCAATCTTGGAGGGGTTTCTCGCTAAATGCATTCAGCTTAAGAGGCTCTGATACCTGGCATGCCTACTGAAACTGTTAGGGGGTAATCAACTATCGTTTAGCAGCTTTAGTAGGCATGCCAGACATCTAAGCCATTTAAGCTGAGTGCAATTTAGTGAGAAACCCCTTGGAGATGGGTTGATCCAGCTAGATCAATCTAAATATGGGAAGGGGGTCTATAATTACCTTATTTGTTTTCTGAGTTGTGCTGTCAGCTTGGTTTTCACTGGTCACATGGAGGTCAATCTCAGGGCCAGTACAGCTGGTCACATGAACCAACTTGTGAGCAACCTGAAGTCGCAACCACAGTGACTGTTATTTTAATTGTAATATTTGATGAGTGAAATTCATTAAGACTGCATGTGCTATGGACCTTTCTGAAGAAGAGGCCAAGGACTGTATGATATAGTACAGTATATCTAATGAAGATCTGCAGAAAAAAAATCTTACCAGAAGGTCATGAATGAAATAATCAAGACAAGGAGATGGAAATGAATTGGCCATGTGCTGAGAAAGGACTTGTAAGTTCCACCACAAAAGTAGTCATGTACTGGACACCAGAGCGATACAGTTATAGTGGCAGACCTAAGACCACATGGAGAAGGACTGTGGAGGCAAAGCTGAAACAACTGGTTAGTACTTGGATCATCTATTCTAAATGGCCCCAATGACATCTCATATGTACTGTACAGTCTCATGACATGGCAGGGGTCCTACGAAAATACGAAAACCGCGAAAACCGCGAAAACCAGAAGTTGCTAGGCGAAAACCTCACTATAACTTACCAATTCCCGATGTTCTTGACAAGTTGCTGTAATATTTGGATAACTTGGACCATATTACATACATCATGACCTTTGATAACGATGTTGTAATGAATTGAGTATGTAACAGCTGAGTTTTCTAGATCGGCAACTATTAGTGCGTGGGAGCCATGTTTGGTTTACAATTGGCATATATAAACAGCAGTGTCCCCTCAGGCCAGTATTGCCGTCTCAGGCCAGTATTGCCCTCTCATGCCAGTAATGCTCTCTCAGGCATATGAATGTGGATAACAGCACAATATTTTCTGCTTACTTAATACATACATATAAGAAACTAACAAACATTTATCAAGTAACATTTACAACATTGTACCAACTTTAAGTTAATTAATGCTTTATTTGTAAATATGTTATTTGTGCATGAGAAAAATTCCTTCTAACTGTACATGAAGTTGTAAGAACTTTGTATTTGCATTAAACTTTATAAATGAAATATTGAATCAATAAATGTTTTTCATCATAAAAAGTTGTTTTTGTTTGTTCAAATCATGCTAAAATAAAGGCTCTCTATATACCAAATTCCATTTTACCAAAGCAGTTATCAATACATATTTAGTCAATTTGTGCACTGGCAATTTATTTTTTAAGAACAGGGACTAAAGACTTATTCTGAGACAACCACAGTGTAGGGTGGAATACTGACCCGTGGACTTGCGTGCTTTTTATTTTTAATGCATGGATTGTATTATATTTTATATTAATAACAGTTTTATCAAAGAACTTGTAGGTTCATTTGACATTACACTCATTAGGATCTGGTTGTCATTAATGGTATGCTTCTGTGGCTCTGTGCCCTCAGGTAAGTGCTAAATCAATAATAATCAAGAAATGATCAAGACTTAACTAGTTACAGCTGCAGTCTTAGCTGTCACTAATTAAGTTCATCTAGCTGTCAGTGTCAACAAATTTAAGTTCACTGCTACTTATTTTCCATGAATTTTTGCAATTTCTTGGTGAATTTTTTACACATTTTGTCATTTTCAAACAGAGCTGAGAATTTGAGTTAATGGGCCTGAAGCCATGTGATATTTGTTGCTGACTCTGCTGTCGAGCAAAATGTATTATTGCATCTGCATTGATATTTTCTATCTTGTACCTCATTATTANTTTTATTGCAGATCTTGACGAATCTCAGGAACCATCAGAATTCTGTGTTTCCGTGGAAAAACTCATGTCTGATCTAAGGCAGTGTTCAGGATTGATTTTAATGATCTAAGGCTGTGTTCAGGATTTATTTTAATGATCTAAGGCTGTGTTCAGGATTTATTTTAATGACATGTAACTCTAAGAAGGAGGCACTTTGATTGCTTTAAGCCTTGAAAATTTAGTGTCTGACCAGGATGTAATATAATCATAAATAGAATATTGCAAAAAGAAAGGCTTTCTACCCTCCCCCGTACCCCTGCTGTCTGCCATTTGTTCAGTTTTGGTCTCTCCGTCTTGTTGTCATCATCACTGTCGCCATCTCCATTACCATCAGGCTTGGTAGCAGGCACTTGGGTGTTCCCTGGATCTTTCACATCCCCATTACCTATTTTTTTGTCTGCCAGTCCTTTTTCTGATGAAGGTTCTTCCTTAACCTTTGATGTATTCTCATAATCTTTGGTAGACTCCATGGTTTTGGAAATTGGTCCCTGGTTTAAAAAAAGGTATCAAATTTATTCTTAATTTTGTGATCAAGAGTTAAAAATCACATGAAGTCTACAGTCAAAGTGAAAATTGTTGGATTCTAACCCAATACCACGCAATGGTGAAGTCAGGCCAGTAATTTCTATGAATTTTGCAAATTCATCTGCCCAAATGAGCCAGCAATTATCTTTAACTTATTTACTCCAATATGTACTAGTATGTGTATTTCTGACATGTAAATTACTTTTTGTATATCAATAATTATATGCTTTTCTTTTTAAATTTCATTGCCATAGTTGTACATGTTGAGTAAAGAAGCAATCTCGAGAACTAGGTACAGGATTACATACAAAATAATATGTCTACTAAATAACTTAACTGGGTTTGCTTACTCAACATATTTATGGTTTAGAAGTTCAACCCCTTGTTTAACATTTCTATGACCCATTCCTATACCTAGATCGATCTAGCATGACTGACCAATCTTGGAGGGGTTTCTCTCTAAATTGCATTCAGCTTAAGTGGCTCTGATGTCTGGCATGCCTACTGATGCTATTAGGAGGTAATCAACTATCGTTTAGCAGCTTTAGTAGGCATGCCAGACATCTAAGCCATTTAAGCTGAGTGCAATTTAGTGAGAAACCCATTGGAGATGGGTTGATCCAGCTAGATCAATCTAAATATGGGAACAGGGTTCTATAATTACCTTATTTGTTTTCTGGGTTGTGCTGTCAGCTTGGTTTTCACTGGTCACATGGAGGTCAGTCTCAGGGCCAGTACAGCTGGTCACATGAACCAACTTGTGAGCAACCTGAAGTCACAACCACAGTGACTGTTATTTTAATTGTAATATTGGATGAGCGAAATTCATTTAGATTGCATGTGCTATGGGCCTTTCTGAAGAAGAGGCCAAGGACTGTATGATATAGTATATCTAATGAAGATCTGCAGAAAAAAAATCTTACCAGAAGGTCATGAATGAAATAATCAAGACAAGGAGATGGAAATGAATTGGCCATGTGCTGAGAAAGGACTTGTAAGTTCCACCACAAAAGTAGTCATGTACTGGACACCAGAGCGATACAGTTATAGTGGCAGACCTAAGACCACATGGAGAAGGACGGTGGAGGCAAAGCTGAAACAACTGGTTAGTACTTGGATCACCTATTCTAAATGGCCCCAATGACATCTCATATGTACTGTACAGTCTCATGACATGGCAGTGGTGCTACAGGACATGAATGGAGAGCTAGAATTTTGCAGTAAATGCAGTTTGCAGATTGATGTCATGGTTTCTGTACCGACTCCTACTCACATGCTCGCCCCACTTGGATTCGGCGATAAATATAATACCATTTCTGATTAAATAAACTAAGCTGTATAAAAAACCATGATCATATTAGATCACCACAGTCATTCCCGGCATTCAAAAGGAAACACTGACACCTAGTACCTGTACTTGCATTGGGGGCGTTTCGATAGTCCGAAAGTTAATTGGTCCGAAAAGTGGTAACATTGATTTCATCGATTTTTTAATCAAGGGTTCACCTTCGGACAATTGAATCTTCGGACTATTGTTACGCCCCCCTTGCATTTGGGGGGGGGGGGGGACAGATAGGTCTGACTTAGAAAAAATGAGAAGCTACTAGGAATTTGCAGGTTATTTAGGCCAGGGAATTATATCGATATAATTCCCTGCTCTGAACGAGACAAGAGACTGTAGACAAACTAAATTTCTTTTGAAATTTTACCTGATTTGCAGTACTGGCCCCACATCCCATTTACTCTTCAATTTCGGAATATTTAAACAATCACAAAAAACGCATGATTTTTTGGCCAGGAATCCAGACAGCTAAAAAGACACCTTCAAATTAGTGTTGCCAATATACAGGTATGTGGCCTTCACCTTTGGATTTGCAGGTCTTATTTAAAATATATGTAAAGTAAATATGAAGATAAATTTTCAGCATTTAACCCAAATCATAATTAAAATATAATACTAAGATAAAAAATCTATTATGAATAAGATATTATTCTTCAATAATTAATTATTTATCTTGATTTAGTGGGTATTATTTAAATTTCTTATTGAACAGATTACACCTAATTTGGAACCTTCCAGAAGGTTCTACCTGCGTCACTTCCTGTGAGTATAAAGCTAAACTTTAACCTCGTGGGTAACCATTCATCAAGAAAGACTAGTAGTCTGGGAGACGTGTAGAGTTCCTTTAATTCAAGTTCATTCCATTAAATCATCACAGGTGAGCTCAGAATTTGATTTTTAATTAAGCATAACGAAGATTTTAACGGCAATTCAGAATTACACTGTCAGATTTTGCAAAACGCCGGTTGGTAGCGGTTAGTAAGGTCACTTTGCCGGTTGATAAATGAACAAAGAACGAGGAAAATTAATCGATCGATCGATTGTTTTTATCGCAGAGAACATTGAAATGTGATGGATTTGAAAATTGAAACGTGTTACATGATCTGCATATTCTTATCCAAGAAGGAATCATACTGATTTGAATTCTTTCCGTGGTATCGGTTTCACTTCTCTTTTCGAGAGAAAAATTGATCTCACGCGGTTGGTCACGTGGTAGAAACGTGGTAAATGATTATCAATCAGGGATATCTTATTGAAAAAGGGGTGGGGTAATCTTGAGTTCAATCATTTGTTTGAAGTCTAAAATCGCTGACCACCAATGATCGTTGATCCCATAATTTGTTAACACAGTCATGCCATTTTCAAATTAAAAAATATCCAATTCTAGATTTTTCTGTTCCGCCTTTGTTAACGGCATGACTAAGCAGAACGTGCCCAGTTAGTAGAAAGATGGATCAAGAACTATTGACTCCTCCTGTTTCAAAGTCCACGTTTGGTTATTTACACATAAATAACTGATTTGCTAAGAGAACAAAGGGTTATATATTTAATGATTATCAGACTCATGGTGTTAAGTCTTAAATCCAGATTACTGATTTACTTCTCTGATTTGTGAAAGTGAAACTAGGTCTGAAATTATTCTTTTAGGTTCTTATTGACATTAAATATGACAGGATTTAGATAATGTTAGATATTTATGGTTACATAGATTAATTGACTCAAAGGGGGCTTGAAGAGAAATAAATTAACTGGTAAACTAATGTTTCCATTGTCGGAAATTTATTGGCTTGAATGATACAGATACACACAAGCCTGTCCAAGTCCCATAATATTTTATCCTAGAAAAACTTCTTTAAATATATATCTTTTGAACATCCTCAGATTCATTATGAGTAAGCCAGCAGCAGGAGGACCCGCCATTGGCATAGATCTGGGCACAACCTACTCCTGTGTGGGCGTGTTCCAGCATGGAAAGGTAGAGATCATCGCCAATGACCAGGGTAATCGTACCACCCCCAGCTACGTGGCATTCACAGACTCGGAGCGTCTGATTGGAGACGCTGCCAAAAATCAAGTGGCCATGAATCCAACAAACACGGTATTCGGTGAGTGTTTTTATATAAACCTTGTCTGTAGCAGTGGTGGAATAAAGCGTAACTGCAAAGATGTAATTTAAACAATACTTTGTCTGGGGTAGCGCTCAAACACGCCAATTTAGCCATGCGAAAACTGACTTAAATTGGCTAAAGAAAAAGTGCCTGATTTGACTTGCTGTAGCCAAATTCTGACAATTTTGATAAAAAATTGACAAAAATGTGGTGATTTGGCTAAGCAGAAAAATTGCTAACGCTACCCCAGCTTTGTTGAACTAAACAAAAATTTTAAGTTGTTAGTTTCCTTACAATATATTAACAAGAAAAAGTAATTAATAAGGCTGTTTTTCAAACTGTATTTTTAGTCCTATGAGTCATTGAGAATAAAAAGTAACACTTACAGGTTAACAATAAAAAAAATCTTGTTAAGTTCATGACAACAGGGCCTGGGATGACAGTTACAGTTATCAGATGATACCAGGTACATTGAGTCTGTACATGAAAGTGGCTTAGGCATTTATGGAATAATAGAAAGTAGAATGAAATTGTAGGCCATTATCTTTTTGTTATATAGCTACTGAATTTCTGTAGTAAAAAATATAAAATAAAAATGTTTTCAGATGCCAAACGTTTGATTGGGCGCAAGTTTGAGGATGAGGTTGTAAAAACAGACATGAAGCATTGGCCATTTCATGTGGTCAGTGACGGTGGAAAGCCAAAGATCGAGGTAGAACACAAAGGCGAGAAAAAGAGGTTCTTCCCAGAAGAGATTTCCTCAATGGTTCTTGTGAAAATGAAGGAGACTGCTGAAGCATATCTGGGCAAGGTATGACACCTCTGTTGAAACCTGAGATGTGATATTGAAGCCAGTTATTGAGGTGGAAATGACAGAGTTTTCTTGTATGAACAGTTGATGATGTCTCAACAGCACTTAACTAAATTTACCTCTTAGTTATAAATAAGAAAATTTGTCTGATATGTTTCTTTCTGGACTTCCAGACTATTACCAATGCTGTGATCACAGTCCCAGCTTATTTCAATGATTCCCAGCGCCAGGCCACCAAAGACGCTGGCACAATCTCTGGCATGAACGTAATGCGTATCATCAATGAACCCACGGCTGCCGCCATTGCTTACGGGTTGGACAAGAAGGTGAGTTTGGTGAATGTGAGATAAAAGTTATTATTATCATTATTATCATTATTATTAACAGTGAAGACTGTTGGTTTGTGTAGTTACTATGGTCTCCTAAACAATTTTGAACAATGGCTAGTGCACTGTTAACATGGTTATTTAACATACTAAATATTAAACAGGGAGAGGAGGGCTAATGTGTGAGCAGGTTGAAGTAGCACTCTGTTGCAATTGTCTACATTCTGTGTGTGCCTTGCAGTGTGGTCAATATGACATTCTGGCTTGTGATGGCAAATTGCTAATTATTTAATTAACTGGGTCTGACAAGCTTTAGAACACATTTCTCTACAGAGTCAGAGTACTGTAGACTACAGGCTAGTAATAGTGCATTTTTTCTTCTCATTTTTCTCTGACACTTGGCTCCCTCTTCAGACGCAGCAACAGGCAAGTCTTCATCTTGTGTACACACTGTTGTAGCCTAGATTAGCCATTTGTAGTCTGTTTTTTTTCAACAAAAAATTATTTTAGAAATAAAATTTGTTTAAAATTTGGAGATTACCCATGATTATCATTATTTTGACTAAGGCCACAAATTAAAGTTTAACTGTTGTGTCAGTCTTTATAAGTGGGAGGAAACTTTAAAATCTCCATTGGGATTTTTGAATGTAATTGCTCCAAACACGTCTGCAGGAAAAAATGGCACATCTTGCAGAGTTTATCATTTGACATCTTGGACCAAATTTGATTGGTTTTGAACTAAACAGATTGGAAGTTGAACACCAGCTTCAAAAATGATTTTAAGATGCTTGCACCTCTCTGGACCATTGATTGACCCCTGTGCTTCATACTAAAATGTAGAAAAACAGAGGAGTCTGGCGAACAATCATAACTTGTGATGGTCAATTAGGACACATTGTCACCATATGAAGGAGTGATTTGTGGGAAATTGGGAATGGGATAATGAATTTATCACACAAATCTCTGGGGAAATTTGACTACAAATGTTACCGATGAGATTATACACATATTTGCACAAGGAAAAAAATAATGATAATGGATAATATGGATCACTTGATGAATTGAATTTCTTATTGTTGCCAGTTTTATCAGGCAACAAACAAGGATTAATCTTTTTTAGTTCCGTTTTTTTTTTTTTTTTTTTTTTTTGTACCAAACTAGTTTGATTTCGTAGAAATTGATTTAATCTTAATATTGCTAGGCCGTGTAGATTTCGATTTTTCTTTTCTTTCTATTTACATGCTTGCTGATATGAAATGCCAAACAATGTAATGGATACAGTACAATAGTTAAGAGGGCATTGAATTTATGCACCTTATTAATTGAGCAATTATCTTAAAAGAAAAAAAATGTATTTACAGATTAAAATGGATTATGTTTAACGAGTATTACATTTTGTATTTATCCCTAGGTTGGCACAGAGCGTCACGTGCTGATCTTCGATTTGGGAGGCGGCACCTTTGATGTGTCCATCTTGACCATCGAGGACGGCATCTTCGAGGTCAAGTCCACGTCCGGGGACACCCACTTGGGCGGAGAGGACTTTGACAACCGGCTGGTGAACCACTTCACCCAGGAATTCAAGCGCAAGCACAAGAAGGATCTATCCGAGAACAAGCGTGCCGTGCGCCGTCTCCGAACTGCGTGCGAGCGTGCCAAGCGCACCCTGTCCTCCAGCACCCAAGCCAGCATTGAGATCGACTCTCTGTTTGAAGGTAAAGGAAGAAAATCGTTTTTTGTATGATCGTCTGTGAAAGACTGGTATTTCTTTAAGACCCAAGTCATGAGAAAACTCTTCATTTGAGAGTTAAAACCGTCGTTATTCCTCAGTTTTATAGCGTCATTTGGTCTGAATTTACTTTTGCGCCCCTGAAGGTATTGAAACGCCTCGTCATCTTTTTCCATTTCCCAGGCGTGGACTTCTACACCACCATCACCCGTGCTCGTTTCGAGGAGCTGTGCTCGGACCTGTTCCGCAGCACGCTGGAGCCGGTCGAGAAGGCCCTGCGCGACGCCAAGCTCGGCAAGGGAGAGATCCACGACATCGTCCTGGTCGGTGGCTCCACCCGTATCCCCAGGATCCAGAAGCTGCTCCAGGATTTCTTCAACGGCAAGGAGCTGAACAAGAGTATCAACCCAGACGAGGCCGTGGCTTATGGCGCTGGTATGTAGAGTTTTTCAGTAGTACAGAAAAGTAATCGGTTATTATACAGGGGTTGATTTAAAAGTTAACAGTTGGTTCTTTGTCTTTGTAATGTATTGAAACATGGCTAAGAAACCTGACTATTTGGAGACACGTTCTTAGAGCCTTCATGCAATGCAATTTAATGGGAATTCAGCAAACGATTTATGAATATTAATCCAGCAGTTATACTTCTGATCCTGAAAATACACTTCTTGGATTCTTGGGATATAAACTTTCAGCAATTCATTTATTTCACACATTCATAACAACATGTCTGAACTACCCTCCCTTCTCAGTTCCGAGAAGGCAGTCAGAAATTTATCATGTATTTTCTGCATTAACCAAGCCCTTACTCGTTGCAGCTGTGCAGGCGGCCATCCTGTCCGGAGACAAGTCCGAGGAGGTCCAGGACCTGCTCCTGCTGGACGTCACCCCGCTGTCCCTGGGTATCGAGACCGCCGGCGGCGTCATGACCGTCCTCATCAAGAGGAACACCACCATCCCTACTAAGCAGACGCAGACCTTTACGACCTACTCTGACAACCAGCCCGGTGTGCTCATTCAGGTCAGTGTTTGTATGATGATGGTGATTGGTTATGATCGCTGTAAGAAGTTACACGCAGGCGGAACTGTATACCATGCAACTGTTTTCTCTGTTTGTTATAATAGATCGTCGTTGGTTATGTTTGTATGATGAATTACATTGAGTGTCAGCTAAATTCGGCATTAGTAACCGGTCGAACTTGGACCAAGTTCTCTGGTTTCACATTGGATTGATTTTACAAAGGGTCGTAAGGCTGATGTGGTCTAATCTTGTTCACAAAAAGTGTTCATGAAACTCACCACGCACTGTAGATATTGAATTGAAGTGCAATATTTTTAAAAAGCTATGTGTTGAAGTAAATTTTCTCCCTAAGCCTTTTGGCGATGAAATGTTTATTTACCTTTATTTCCAGGTGTTTGAAGGAGAGAGAGCTATGACCAAAGACAACAACATTCTAGGGAAGTTTGAGCTGACGGGCATTCCACCCGCCCCGCGAGGCGTGCCGCAGATTGAGGTCACCTTTGACATCGACGCTAACGGCATCATGAACGTGTCCGCCGCCGACAAGAGCACGGGTCGGGAAAACAAGATCACCATCACCAACGACAAAGGTGATTGTCACCGTCAGACAAGTTATCACTTTGGTTTCGCTTTTGTTTTTATTTAAAATATTCTTTGGTTTCGAATTGTTGCTTCAAACTCTACGGACAAAGTGATACTGCTAAAAACGTGAACAATTTTTATCTAATTTAGCAATTTTTATACCTGTAAATGTAAAGAATTTATCGAAGTTCAATATGTTTTTTTGCAGACCCCAAAAAAAGGGATCTGAACCAAGGCTTATCATTAACGACTTCCTTGCGGTTGACTTTAATTGTTAAAATGAAGTATAATGTTTTATGGCTATATTTTATGATACATTTGTGTTCCTGTCGACGTTCCAGGTCGCCTTAGCAAGGACGACATCGACAGGATGGTCCAAGAGGCAGAGCAATACAAGCAGGAGGACGAGAAACAGAAGGACAGAATATCCGCCAAGAACGGGCTGGAGAGCTACGCCTTCAACATGAAGTCCACGGTGGAGGACGAGAAACTGAAGGACAAGATTGGCGAGGACGACAAGAAGACCATCGTCGACAAGTGCAACGAGGTCATTGCGTGGCTGGACCACAACCAGGTGAGGGCCGCAGAACTGTTCACAGAGAATTAGGCGGATAGGGAAAAACTGTGCTATTTAATTGTTTTCATTTTGAAAAACTAATTTTTTCTTATCTAATTGCAAGTGACTTAAAAGGTTTTTTAACGTGAGGTACTCCAGTTTGGATTAGCTTTTTTCGACCGTTCTTTTTTTTTATTTAAAGAACAGTAATTAATAGAAGAAGCAAATATGTTTATGAAAAGAAAGACCAGTGGTGGGGTCTTGTGTGTGGATTTTCCGTTTGTAATATTTTTCAAATGAATTTTTGTAATGTCAGTGGTGACTTTTGTAATGTGGACGTTAAAATGATTTCTTAAAGAAATAATCAAAAAATTTTCAGACTGCGGAGAAAGAGGAATTCGAGCACCAGCAGAAGGAGCTGGAGAAAACGTGCAATCCAATCATCACCAAGCTTTATCAGGGAGCAGGTGGCGCCCCTGGCGGTATGCCAGGTGGGATGCCCGGAGGGATGCCTGGAGGTTTCCCAGGGGCCGGCGGCGCTGGCGGCGAGAGCCAGTCCACAGGAGGCTCTGGAGGACCAACCATCGAGGAGGTCGATTAAATGCTACTTAAGGAATTCTGGCTCTTCACACACAGACCTTTCGTCTCTTTGTTTGTGTGTATTTAAATTCTTAAATTGGATACATTTAGTTTTGGACTTGAAAACCTCGTTATCGTTGCTTGAAATCCATGAAAGTTTTTGAACGATTTACTTCTCATTAACCATTTTCTAAGACAATCGTAAATATGCTTTTCAATATGTTGATTACCTCGTTTACAGGAAGAAATATCGTAAATGTGTACATCACACACCAGTATTATATATTAATGAGTAAGCACTATCTTTTGATTTATGGGCGTAAATAGATACTACTAAACTTGGAAAGTTTATACTGAGGGACGGATGTGATCATTCCAGTTTAATCAAATACGGCATAGACAGGGACTTCGTGTTACATTGTTGTCATATCAAAGATTGTATTCGTTTAAATGTTATTTATTGTTTTAAGATAACATTAAGTTAAAGACCTAGATAAGGTCTGTCTCTAAATATAGAAAAAAAGACACTGAATCCGTTTCTACAATCATATTTATTAGTCGTTTCCATCTCGTGTTATTGATGTTTGTCCTGTATCACGTTTTCATTCCGTTGAACTTGAATAAAAGGAAAACACGGAGCATTGTTTGTTGTTTTAGGAGTGCCGAATTACTCGTCAATGAAGCTATCTAAATCTACTTGGCAGTGCTTAGCAAACTCGGTGCCTTGAAAATTGAGCAAATCGGTTAATTAGACCAGTTTGTTACATGAGCACAATTTGATAGAGTGCGGAATAAGAAATACTGAAGACTCATCGAAATATGATGGAAGTTTACCTACGTGAAATTTAACATGCAATTAACCCCAAAATCTTTAAATGCACTGAATGGTGGAACAACTGGGTGTAAATGTTTTCGCAAATGTAGCTGCACATCTTAAGGGCATAGAAATGTCCCGACGTCATATTTTAGATCGTTACACTCCGAACAGTTATTTACCTTTCTCAATTCAGGCTTAAAAAAGACCTCTTAAAATAGAAAAAGAAAAAAAAAAAAAAAAAAAAAAAAAAAAAAAAAAAAAAAAAATCTTATTAAAATGCAGGGACGGGCCGATTCCGTTCTTTTGTGAAACGTATTCCTGTGCAGGAGAGGAATCCTCCAGAATTCCGAGTTAGTCCGTCCATTCCACAAAAATTAGTGCCATATGATGCAGTTAAGTAATTCCGCACAAAAACTTAAATCGTATTCTGATATATTCCAGTAACTGCTGGGTGCCTGTAATTTGTATTGTTTGTTGCAGTGTCAAGTACAGTATAATGGCTGTCATTGACTTCATGAGTTTCTGTCACATGGTCAGCTGTTGACGTAGTTCTGGCCTCCAGAGTTACATACTCGTGTTCACTAGCAGCACTGTCTGGTGGACCTAAACTGTTCTGGTTTAACCCCCAGGAGGCGAATTGATCCATGTTAACGACCTTGGACTCCTGAGAGGCGGAATTCTGTTTTCTGAATCGAAACGAAATACAACATTGCAAATCCTTGTTTACGGAAAACGTTTAAGGAGCAGAAAATGAATGCCGGTGTGACGAAACTGAGGGTCGTGTAACAGAGTCCACCTTCCATTTAATTATACAGGTTAGGGTTAGCATGACGTAAGTGGGTCGAAATCTAGGGCGAGGCTTTTCTGTATAAATTAAAGGGAACCACGCATACTCTCTATCATTGGGGACTTGTCACGTCACACCAGAATATCTCCTTCATTTTCAACGAGATCATCGCTGGCTAAGAATCTAAGAATGAATTCTAGATGTTTCATATTGAAATATTTTATATCTTTTATATCTTTTATGACGAGGTGACGTCATAACCAATAAAATGATATCCAGGAATGCAAGTAAATGTCACATTCTGCCCGTAGACGAAAGGCCCCCTGCTGGGAGAATTGATGTTTATTTTATCAAGCGGAAGGTCACATAAAATGGGAACACATCTGGGTAATCTGTGGTCAAATGTACCATCGGCTTGGCATTTTAGGGTCTTTACCGTTGACGTGTCGTTGAATTGAAAGCCTGTGTTGCAGGTACAGTATATGTCACATTTTGGTCTTCATTGGCACCTAAACGCTGTGTCACCTGTTTCAGGTGAGCACCTGGAGGGGGGTCTTCACAGGTTCCTAAAAATTAAATATGTATGACATAATAGCCAAAGTTCGAAATACAATGTAGGTCCCTTCCTTAATCACGCCACTCCGAAGGCATGCCCCTACCGACATGCCGCGTTTTAGCCTGTCTTATCTTTTTAAGGTCACTCAGGTTAGCAATAATTAGGGTTTGGGTATTTCAGTTCCGTAAAGTAATAGTGTTAGGGGCAAAGGGGACAACAGTGTCTGTTAAAAGTCATTGCTTTAGTCAGCCATATCAAAGGTTTTGTGACAATTGTCACAGTGAAATTTACGATAATTCATTAAAAATAATATCTCTAATTTTCAAAATACAAACACGTGTTCACCGTCTCCATATATCAATATGCTGTTCCCTTACACTAACACGTGCGGACAGAGCAGTTGTATCAAGGAACACCTGTACTCCATTTTATATAGATGTGTGCTGTAGATTACTTTTCAATAAAATTTTATCGAGGAAAAGAATAACTAAACAAAAGAAGAGAAAAAAAGCTAAATATGCATGTACAAACTATGGGAACCAGAAATTTAATAAAATGAGCAGTAAACGACGATTTGTTTTTATCTGTGGGCAGTGTTAATGATAATAACCCTATTTATAAGGGTCAAAGATATGTCTTAGGAATTTATAGACAGGACAAAATATCTCGGTTCTACAGAAACCTGGTGGTAGCTCTTTAGGGTGGGAAAAATCACATCTTGTCTTCTCTAACACAATCCCGCACAGGTGTTTTTTTTTATTGGGTTCGTTTATTTTACCTACGAAACCTTACCGCTTGATTTCAAGTGTAATGACTGATATAGTCTGGCTGGAACAACCCCTACCAGTTCATAAATAAGCAAACTTAATCAAGCATACTTAGGCGCACACTTCATAGTAAAATTGTCCAGCAACATCACAATGGACATACAGTACAGTGGGACCATAACTCTGAGTTTAATCAAGCAAAGAATATAGAATGACCAAGTCCCATGATCTGCTGAACATGTTAATTTACACTTTTTAGATTAGAAAACTGTTGTGCCCAAGAAATATTGAAGGAAAGAGCTGAAATACCAATTTAGTAATTGTAATAACTACAAGTGTAAATAACAAGTAGATTTCAAGAACTACATTGTAACAGAAGGCTGTGGAGTGAGGCACCCAAAGAAAGGTGCCTTATTTATTGACAGTGTATAGGTATCAGTTACATTTTGTGTACCTTCATTGCACTACTTAATATAAAACAAAAAAGACCTTGTCTGTTTTCCACCTCCATAGGATCTCCTTCTTCCTTAATGCATCTTCGAGCAATTTTCTTGTCCTTCCAATCCAGCAGTGCTATTTTAATTATATTCACTTTCCTTTCTTATAGGTTACGCAACATTAGAAATAATTAAATGTGATCTGGAAAATGTCATTGAGGGGAAAAATGCTGTAACAGAACTCATAGAGTGATAACCAATTAACCAAATAATTGATAATAATACTTAACTGGTAGCTTATGCAAAATAAATTATATCCCTTTCCTTAATGGTATAAATTAACAAGCATTGCAGGACTTAAAGAAAAAAATCTTCAAAATAAAAATCTCAAACTGCCTCAAACTAAAAACAAAATACTACACTGAGTAGAAAATGTGGAATATTTATATCAGAAAAATTTGACAATAAACACCTTATATAATAAAGAAAAGGAATGCAAACTTCTTGTAAACAATTAAGTCACAAATGAGCTGGTGATTCTGACAATTGAATGTTTTGTTTCAGAAACATATCACAAATATATCATTAACACTTGTTTTCAAATTCTACCTATAAATCTTTTAAATATTGTCACATTTCATAGATGATAGAGTACAACAAGCCTGAAATATATATTATACATAACAAAAACTCAAAGCGAAAAAAAAAATTCTTAACATTTACCTAAAAATACATCACAAATGATAATTCTTTCTAAAACCCTTAGCCCTAAAGCTAGTACTTTTTAAATAGAATTTGAACTATACCATTTGAAAGATGTTCATACCTTTCTAACATTCCAGACTGTGAAATCATTTTCACCAGTAATAACAAAATTCTCATTTCTTGACCGTTTAACCCTAAAGACCCTCTGTGATACTACAAGTTCATGTAAATAATCAACCTCATAACATGTTCGACACTTCAACTCCATTTATTCTTAAGTTTCTTTTTCTTTTTCAATTTAAATGAAACCTATTAAATTTTTTTGTCAAAAAAAAAAATAAAATAAAATAAAAAAAGGCCCTGTGCCAAAACCTACAAATGTTTCAGTTTTTTTATGCATTTTGTTTGTTCCAAGCTGAGGGTTAACTCTGTCACTATTATGCTACACATGAGAAGTGATAAATTAATGTGGAATGTCTGTTTTAACATGCCATTAAGTTAAAAATGCTCATAGTCCAGTTATTGAAATGCTACAATGTAAAGCATGGGGCACAACTACTGTAACAGTAATATCTCAGTCTTTTCAATGGGGGAGAATTGTGAATTGTACACATGCTGTATTTTATTAAGTCATAATTTCTTAAAATTATAGCATTCCTACTGGGTGGTGAATGATGTTATTCAATTTATTAGTGACTTTAACTGTGTGATTATGCTGAGGGGAAACAGCTGTGAAACCTTGTAAATTAAAACACAATAACAACATCTCAATTTGCAGCTGCACTAGAGATAATAGAATGGTGAAGAAAAGCAAAGATTTTGTGAAACAAAATGATGCACAGTAAGAGCAACAACTTGTAGTTCTAAGTAATTTCAAATATTACTTCATATGTTGTTGCACATGCACGTGATACCAGGCAGATATAGCCATATTATGAATGAAATGTGGTGGAGTAAGTGAAAAATCTATAAATAACACACCATGAAGCGCAAGTGAATTGACGTGAAATTACATGATCTTACTATGTAAAAAATGACTTTTAAAATCTAAATCTAACACCTATAACAAGGTGAATTATGCTGTGTTGCTCATAGTATTAGAAGAGACGTCTTCTCTGGTACATCTTACACCCCATTGCTGACATACATATCCTTGTTACGGGTGATGAAACTGAGCAAGTCGATCCTGGTTGCAATGCCAAAGATCATCTGCTTCTTAGACTCTGTGGCATTGCCTTCATCTGTAACATCAATGTAATACATGGTAAATATAAAATAATAGCACCACTAAAAAAAAAAAAAAAAAAAAAAATCAAACATTTTTACACTAAATTCTATATAATTTCAAGTCACTGCATGTTTATGAAACCTTTTGGGGTACTTTACATACTTTTCACATAATTTTTTTAAAGCAGTGACTAAAAATGACCACTAATTTCACACAGTACATCAATTGTGACCCAAATCAAGTTTTTGAGTAACAATAAGACATTCCAATTAAGGGAAACCTTCATTTTATCATTCTATTAATTGCAGCACAACTTCAAAAAGGCAACTCAAGTAAGTGTTGTGTACCAAGTCTTGATATCGACATGATTTCAATCTGTCAGTATTCTGATTAAATCACAATATTTTATTCCTGGCTCATTTAAAAACAAACAATGATACAAGCTAAAAAAACACAGAAAACAAAATGAAAGACATTTGAAAAACATAATTCAATATCACAATCACTGTCAGATTGTTCAGCACCTCAGCCTCAAAGGTAACTCCAAAAGTTTTGGAACAAAAGTTAGATCATAAAATTATAAACTGGACAGCTGATAACTGATACATTATAATATTGAATTTTATCCACACTTACACTGCCTCTGGTCATGTACCACCAGGACAAAGTGGTCAGTGTCCAACATTCGGGACAGCTTGCCCAGTGATGTGTCCAAACGCACCTGGAGAACACGGCAATTTAAGAAAAAAAATAGGTCAATAAAAATCTGTAATGAAACAAAAGATCCTTCACATATAATATGTTCTTTTCTTTAGCTTTTTAGTCCTCTTTGTTTTTATTGTAATACTTGACAAAATCAATAGTATATCCAATATTAATCCAAGTGTACTGACAAACTGTATACTACGAAAAGCAGAAATTTATTACTGCAGTAACTTCTCATTTCGTATGTCTATGCAACATTTTCATTCTGCCTTAAAATTGTCTCCTTCAGAGATATTACACTGTCAAATAAAAACATACAACTTAAAAAAAAACAGGAAACATACAGTAGTCTTAACACAGCTACAACACTTCAGAATCAGAAAATTGGTTCGTGTTTTGTAAAAGATCACTTTATCAAGTTTTTTCCACATGAACAATTAGTGGATTTGTAAGGTTTACAACATATTATGACTAGAACCTACTGTATGTTATTTACAGTGCAGCACAAACTATATCAATGGGGAAGACACAACTCAGAAACCCATAGTTTACTACAAAGTCATGCAAGTCTTACACAGAAAAAAAAATTTAGAAAGAAAAAGTTATAATATTCACCAAAAAGTTATTTTTTTACATCAGGGCTAACATTACAAAACTCATGCAGACATTAACTGCTACTGCCCAACTAGATATACTACATCACCAGAAAAGTCATAACTCTTGTCATGAATAAACTGTGCTCCAATCTGTCCCTTAAGTTAAATTAAAAGAATTGCAAGGCCAACCTGGGTAAGAAGTTGAAGCCAAGCCCAACTATCATCTTGGTTATATAATATTAGTTGGTTTTCAGCAAAGCTAAGCCAACAATGTCACCTTCCTCTACTCCAGGTATAGACATGTTACGGGACACGTGAAAAAAATGGTGCCTTCCACACAACTCTGACGTATCAGTGTACGTTTCAGTCAACCTTCCCATGTCACATTTTTTCTACACTTGAAAAGTTTTAGTACTCCACAACCTAACTAAGTTAAAATATGAAATCCAGGGTACCGTATAGGCACTATTACTACAAATGCCAGTGCTTTAAGCTCATCATTTTTTTTTGACAAATACTTTATAAATTTTATAAAGACTTAGTTGTGACAGATTTTTAGCCTTGTAGCTTTTTCAAAAATGCTGTACGTGATAAGCTGGCTAAAAAGAATACACAGTTCAGGGTGAAAAGCCTCATAAATAAAACAGTTACAGAAGCTCCATAAAAATGTCTGAACACAAAAGCAATAGCACGGCAAAGTTCAAAACAGTGGGGAGAAATGAATATATACCTGAGGAGCCTAGTGAGCAAAAAATAAAAAAAAAAAAATTATTTCTATATGAATAAATTTCTTACAATAAAGGGAAATTAAGCAAACACAGTTCTCTTTTCTGAAAATGCAATGCAATTGAACTTGGACAGTTATAAACTAAGTATTTCCTAATGTCTTTGGATATTTAAGAAGACATATATACATTAATCTAATACTTTGTTATGATAAACAATTTACATTGTATGTCTTTGCATGCCTAATTCATCTATAACTCATGCCATCTGAGTTATTTTCTGTTTTCTCGTTTTCCTTACCCTAAAAACATTTTAATGTTTATACACTTAAAAAAAAAAAAAAAACGTGAGGGACCAAGGATGAAGTCATGCTCTTAAGTACACCCTATGTTTTACTCCTGCTATATGCAGGGAGGGGTGCACGTTATACTTACTACATGATGAAAAGACCTCTCTGTCTTTACATTTCGTACATATTCATAAAAAATATCACAACAGCCTAGAAACAACCTTCGTTTACTCTTAAAAAGGAGAAAAATTATCATCCCTGATATGCAAGGTTTGGGACTTATTCAGAGCTCTGTGTGTACCTGATAGAGCCTTGTAACTGACCTGTTTAAACTGCTTAAAGATGACCTTGCTGACGGGGTCTGCGGTGGTGGCCTTGCCCCTCAACACCTGGGAGTGAATGTGTGCCAACGTCAACATGCCGATGATGTCTCTGTGTATAAGGAAATGGAAGAAAATTAATTACAAGTCAGTCTTTGACATAAAAATGAACACCTTTGACCAAGCATGGGCCTTTTATTAACCTTTCAGTTTAGATGGGTATATATAAGAGAACTTTTGTGTTTGGATAAGAATGTTGTCTGTGCTTTGTAACTTCAGCTAATCAAAAGACAAGTGCCACAATTAAAATACAAATCAGAGACAAAATCTTGCAAATGAAACACTTATCTACAAAATAAACACCATAAACCATTGATATCCACACAAAAGTATATTGCCCCCATATCTACTCATATTTGCTGGACTACTCATCCAGTGCGCTGTCCATCTGTTCACTCACCCCGACTCATCCACCACAGGGACCTGGTCAAACCCCTCCTTGGCCAGCAAGTCCAGGGTGTCTTTAATACTGACCGTGGGCAGGACTGTGACCGGGGCGTGAAGAGGCAGGGCGTTGACCTTAAGGTTCCACCACCACAGGTTGCCGGGGTCCACTTCGTCTTTCTCCTTCATGAACCCGCGCTCCATCATCCAGTCGTCATTCAGGTACTTGGTCCTAGAGTCCAAACACTCCATTAAATTACCACAGTGACTCTATAACTACTGCCACCTGGTGTGTGTGAGTGCGTGCGTGTATGTGTGCATGCGCACACATTTGTGACCTACTTATTTGTTCTTATTTATTTTTTTTCCACCGCCAGTCTGGTCTCAAGTAGTTAATCTAATTTAATGATTTTGATATGGACACCCAGTCTCCCAGTCTGTCCACACTTCCTCTAAATATCCCATTAACAAGTTTACAAACAAAAACATGATTTAAATTATAAAGACAGTTGGGACAGACTGTACTCACATGTAGTTTCGGACCGAGTCTGGCAGTATAACCACACACCGCTGGCCCTCCTTCAGTCCAAAGTCTTGACACGCCTGTAGTGCCACATACATGTTGGAGCCACAACTGCCACCTGAGAGTATGAACATGTTATCAACACTAGTGATGAGATTCACGGCATTAAGATATCATATGATCTGAATTTTTTACTTAATGTTATTTTATGTGTATTTTGAGGCCACACACACAGATTTAGGGAATTTGGAACAGGATAAATAAATAAATAAATAAATAAATAAATAAATAAATAAATAAATAAATAAAATTTCTATCATCAAAATCTTATAAATACTATTTACTATTTAATAAGTAAGTCTTGTCAGAATGAGCCAAAAAAGCAAGGCACAGAAGCGCAATCAATTCATTCGATATTGGAGTCCTACAAAGTGTCTGAGTTTGATAAAACAATGCCAGGATCTAACTTCTAGTTATGATATTTACCACACAGCAATCCTTCCTCCTTGATCATCCTCCTGGCCATCACAAACGATTCCTTGTCCTGAGACTTGTACCAGCGATCTACATACTGGAACAGTAGAAACCACAACCAGACAAATCAGTGCAGGAAAACATGCCAATTTAGTATCATAAAACCTTATTAACATCCCAATATGCTTTATCATGTGCTTTCAAACATAATGATGTTTCAGAACAGCAAAAAGCAGAACAAGCTGATTTATAAATTTTGATATTTTTCTTTAAATTACAAAATGAACTTGTTAATTTTAAAACTTTGGCAAACTATTTTTATGAATACGTTGGTGTCAGTCTCACTTCAAATAGAAGACAGGCCCTGGTTGAGTATATTTTCAATGACATTACTTCTATTTTTCACTGAAAGAAAAGCACGGTTTACCAGTTCACCACTTTCAAACAATTAATATAATAAGCCATCACATCTCTAGCGTGAAAACTTTGTCAGATACAGAAAAAAAGGCTGCTAACACATGTTTCTTATTTAGTCTCTCAGCTTAGCTTGCTGTCTAATCCCCAAATAGACACTGAATAGATTCCCCATGGGGAAATATTCAAGTAGGTCGGCCATATTTGACCCATGGACTAGTTAGTCCGTTGTTCTGAATGTGGCCTAAAGAAACTTTCTTTCAAAATCTACATTTCAAATCTGAAGCTGCCTACCGCTCTTTCGCACACTGTGGGTATGAAATCATAGCCAACGCCTTCCACTTCGTAGAAACTGGTGTCACTGTCATTCAGCTCTGCAGGCTCTGCTATGATAGATCCCATGGGGTCCACCCCAATAATCTGAAATACAATCACACTGGTGCAAAACTCTTTGACCTCATTCTTCAATTGGTAATTATTCCTCAGATTCTAACAAAATAATCCAGTATTACTAAATATGTCAATAGCAGTGGCAATGGACATTTATAAAGGAACAAAAAAGAGGAAAACAATAGATTGCAAAGATACTTATTTACATTTTTACAATTTTTTTTATTTATTTGTCACTTATTTATTCATTCACTCTTTTTTATGGTGTGGAGACTTGGTCCAGAACCATTCTAAGCTGAGGCAAATTAATTTAACAAATCATACTTGTCTTGATTTAATGACCAACACCTGTGTACCTTGCAGTTGGGGCATTTCTCTCGTATTTTCCTGGCAATTCCTGTCAACGTGCCTCCAGTGCCTGCCCCGATCACCACCATGTCAACCTGGCCTGGGAGGGGAAGATGGAGAAAAGAAAAAATTATCAAGGGTTACAGACAATCTAGTTCAGAAAAGTGGTAATATTTTGTACAGGCCTCTTTTAGCATTCCATCAGGAGAGTCATATGACTGGTATAAAAATACAATAACATTTTGAAACAAATAAGTAGGCAAATGATCCATACGAGCAGAGTTGGTAAACCTGGATAAATATGTGTTAAAATATGTACACTTATATCTGAGACCATGCAAACACAATACATGAGCATCCACACACTTTCACGAAATATGATGATTCAATGAAAACATTACCTAGCATGAAGAAACAAACAAGAACAAAAATTTAATACAAATAAATAAAATAAGGCAAATGACATTCTTGTATGTTCAGTTGTTATCATATTATTGCACGGATATGTGGGTGTCAAAGAAAAATAATAATTGCAATCCCCACCAATCAGCAACCACCATCCTCAACTGCCAAAAATCACTTTAAACAGAAACATACCATCACAAGCGTCAATTATCTCTTCTGCTGTCCCATCATAGTGGGCCAGAGGGTTGCTAGGGTTACGGTACTGTAATGAACCAATCAACATGCAGGTAACAGAACAAACTAGGAAAATATGACAGGTTGCATTCATTGGTAACTAAACATTCCAACAACTAAATAATATGCCTTGAAATCCTGATATTTAATTGGATAAAACATACGATGTTTCTTTCATGGTAAATAAAAACGACTCTCAAAATGACAATCTAATTTTTGCAAATTTCATTTTTTACTAGTAAATTCTGATCTCATTTTTAAAGTTTTTAGTTATAAAAAATTCTAGAACTCAAATGCCTTCACAGGTTCAAGACCTGGTTCCAAATAGCAAACTTACATATTGTTTTCATCTTATATAGTTTACCTGATCCAAAATGTGAGCATTGGGAATCTCATGCAACAGTGTGTGAGCTACACCGATGTGAGATTCAGGGGAGTCAAAGCTGGCGCTGGTTGGCGTCCTCACAATCTCGGCTCCAAGTGCCTTCAGCACGTCCACCTGTTAGAGTAAACACAATGTAATAAAATGTGATCTTTCTTTTCTAGATATTGTTATGGCACATTGACCAAAGAGTAAAGATATCATTAAACTATTAGCGCGTGCGCATGCACACACACACACACACACACACTAAATACTATTTCAAGCTTTCAACATGAAAGAGTAAATGAAAAATACACTGTCTTAAAATATACTGGCAAAAAGAGTTATTGTTGTCTCTAATTAGTTATTTTTCTCAAATCCAAGCCTGCATTTAAAACAAATATTTAGCTAAATGAAGTGTAACAAGATTTCATCAATAAAATTCTGTCCATTACTTCCTGAAAAAACCTAATTAAATGGTATATTTTTAGATATGAAAGGCTCAATAATTGGTACCTTGCATTATACCCAGGAGGGCTAAACAAGAGGGCAAGGGGGGGGGGGTAATATTTCATGCCTCTACTCTCCTCCAATGCTCATTTATTCATCTAAATTACCTTTTCTTTGCTCATCTTTTCTGGCATGACAATGATGCACCTGTAACCCTTCACTGCTGCACCTAATGCTATCCCAATGCCTGGAATATTAACATATTTAATGTTACAGTTTCTTCAGCCCAATTTCACTTAGATTATTAAAAAGTAGAAAGATTATCACTGTTATAATCCTATTACATGAAACTTTATCCAACTCAATTGTGGTTCAAGAAAAAATTTAAATGTAGAGAAACCATGCCATGAACCAGCATATAACCAATGTTATACAATTTTTCTTATAGTGGTATAAAAGACATATAAAGTATGATTATGTACTAGACCTCCATATGCATGTAGCAAAAATTCATTTTCCTGGAAATTTTCACCACTTTCTGTCCACATACCAATCATATACCAAGTAACCCAAAACTGTTGTGAAAATTATGATGTTATAATCTGCTTTCGAGTTTCCTTTCACTCTTGTAAGGAAGGTATAAGCTGGTGGATTTCATTTGAGATGGTAAGAGTTAGAAATTAAGAGGTTGCAAAGGAAGTTATAATTGCTATGCATATATTTTTTAAATCTATAATATCAAATATTATACAGAATATTAACTTGCGTATGAAGACTTACCTGTGTTTCCTGATGTGGGTTCAATCAAAGTGTCCCCTTTCTTCAGTATCCCTGCCCTCTCTGCATCCTCGATCATCCTCAGCCCAATGCGGTCTTTAACACTGCCACCAGCGTTGAAGAACTCACACTTTGCCACTGAAAATTATTATAATCTTAAATACAGATTTGAAATGCAAAGTATTTCTATATAAAACAGAACTGATAATGGACTGCATCCAGTCCAAGTTTTGGCAATTTAAAGCACTAGTCTTACGGGTTACTCTATGGTCTTGGTTCAGTTAAATTTATATTAATTATCATATAAAAGTGTTATATATTTATGTACTTACAAACTTCACACTTCACTCCCATGCTTTTAGTGATCTTATTGATCCTGACGAGGGGTGTGTCTCCGATACTGTATAAGATATTTGGCAGAATTTTTGGTCTGGGAGACCTGAAAAGGTGCCAAAAAACAAATTTAATTTCCAATGAAAATATACACATATGGTAAAATATATTCACAAATTTCAAACATCATTTTCTGAATTCATCTAATAGTAATTGAAATTTCGTACATGAATTTCAAAAGCTGAGTTTAAAAGGTTTCCTAGATTTCCTCTAAGAAAATAAATACAAGCTAGAGCAAACCTCCTTTGATGAGGATGTGGAGAGTCGGTGATGGGTGCCCCAACATGATAGGTACACTTGCTAGGGAGGTCGGGTCTCTTCCACTCTCTCACAGAACTGCCATTTGTCAAACCATTCTCCATGATTTCCTGTGTGTGTGTGTATGTTTTTTTATCTAAAAAAAGAAGTTAAATATTGCATGGAGTTGAACTAATTGATGTAACATGTCACATACGTACTGCACTAAGCTAGCTCACTTTTTTTAAATAAAAAATATATATTACAAATTCATGCAGTCATCACAATCAATTGGAATTTTTCATTTGATGTTGACACTCGTACCCTTTGAAATTACCAGCATAATTGTGATATGTGTCATTTCAAACTCATGTTAAACTTGTATTATAGACCATTATAAATGCAGGTCTGTTTGGGAAAAAAAACTGTACAGTACAAATACATGTACCAGACTTGTCTTCAGTCTACTACTAGTACATGTACATCATTATAAAATGCATAATTCATACTCCTTCGTGTTCCAAGTTCAGACCAATTAAGATACCACTAGAGATGTACATACTACCATTAGTATTATTCCTAAGTAGTATAATTAATTATTTAATAAATATCGAAGTCAGGCAGTATAGTTAGATTTATTACATGCTGCGATGCAGTTGGTAGAAGCATTCCTCTTGGATATCACGACGAACATATTGAAATACAGGCTGCATGTGTAGATACGCAAAAGAAAGCTATGCTGATCATTATCGCTGACGACTTCCGCGAGTGTTTACATTTTTACTGTATGCACATTGAAAGTCACACGTGTCGCTTGCAAAACTTCCCAAATGATTTTGTCATTTCACCATCAACAACACATCGGAGATCGTAGAGTTATACGTGAGTCTTGAAAACATTCATTCACCCTCAAAATTACAACAAATGCGAAGAGTGACAAGGATCACAGACGGTCAAACTCACCGCTAATATTACCGTGTTCTTATCAGTTCTTGTCCTCGCTGGTCTACCAGTCAGCAAAGAGGATCCTTACACACCTCTCATCATACAAATATCATTGGTTTCTCGTGGAAGAGTCCATGTTGATAAGTAGGTCAGTGACCTATTTTTCTACATTTTGTGGGTCTCTTAGCACCTGTGATTTGATGTATATTGTCTATATTACCTATTGATTTATGTGGTTCAGTGTACTAAATAATGATAAATTGATATCTTGCAGTGTTCACGACATGATTGTTCAAAATGCATCCCCTATGTTTATCCAAAGTAAACTCGGCACGATATAGCCTCAAACCAACTGCGAGTGGTTTTGGTTTGAGAGTATGTTCCGCTTTGCGATATCCAAGGGGAAACCCCGCACTTCCTACAACTATTCAAAATGGCTGCTAGCGAAACAACCGGCGATGACTCCCTGTACCCAATTGCCGTGCTGATTGACGAGTTGAGGAATGAAGATGTACAGGTATTTTGACGCGTTTCGATTGTAGTTACCAAAAGCACACCTTATGGTGATTTTCAGATAACTAACGCAATTAAAACTCTATTTATCGCGTTTTTCTTCACTGTGTTATTGGATGACAGATCCCCCAACAATCCCTTTTTTAAAAACCTGCATTTTATAATACCATAATTTTATGACTATGTACACACATCACGCTCATGATGGTAATGATTTTAATTATGTGTCAAGATCAAGCGAAATATTTCAGTCGGTTAAATCAAGTAAATACAGTTTTCTTTCGCTTTTTGTAGTACCTATTTGAATTTGTCTCACGGTTGCGAAGTATCACACTACGTAAAATTTTGACAGTTATAAAACATTTTGGAAAGAATTGCAGTTTATCTGTGGAATTGCTTTGATACTGGTGTACAGTTTTAATTGCAAATACTTATCCACACTATTACATTCCTATTTATAAAAATTTTTTTTTTCAATCCATGCATTGACCAGTGTTTTCTTTTTTTGTTCAGCTTCGACTGAACAGTATCAAGAAATTATCAACAATTGCCCTAGCTTTAGGAGTTGAAAGAACAAGAAGTGAACTCATACCTTTCTTAGCAGGTGAGATAATGTTTATCTTATACATATTTATATTATCTGTGACTAATACATGTATGCAAAATAATAAGAATATTTGTCACAAAAATGTTTAAATTGGTTTTCATAGGGCACCAGTGGAAAAGGGAAGATGTAAAAGTGTCAAGCTAGAGAAGTTTTCTTGAAACGAGAACAAGTTTGATCCAATTGCACATATAGTCTGTTATTTTGCTTTAAATTTCAGATACTATATATGATGAAGATGAAGTGCTACTAGCTCTGGCAGAGCAACTAGGCAGTTTTACTCCCCTGGTTGGAGGAAATGACTTTGTCCACTGTTTGCTGGTAAGTACTCTCTCACTAAGATATTCAACTACTCTTTTTTAATATTTATTTATTTATTTATTTTTTTTTAGTTGACATTTTCTTAGAGACGTACAATTTTTTCTATGCTATACTGTTTTCACCTGTGTATAGCTCCCTCTGGTATATGATACTGTTGCAATTACTGCGATATTTTAAAGCACATCTCTTGTTTGTATTGCTAACTTACATTTGTATTGCTTACCTATATTGGTTTTGGCCCAATGGCCTGTATACTACACCTGGAATAAAAACATCCATTTCATTCTTGTACCAGCCCCCCTTGGAGAGCCTGGCCACTGTGGAGGAGACAGTAGTTAGAGACAAAGCTGTGGACTCCCTCAGAGCCATAGCAGCACAGCACTCGCAGTCTGATCTGGAGAATCATTTTGTACCTTTAGTAAAAAGATTATCAGGAGGTAAGCAAGAGTTTTGGCTGAAAAGTTACAGTGAAATGGCAAAATATGTTCTCTCTGTCTCTAAGTCTTCTCTCACTCCATTCTAAAAAGAATCGATAAAAAAGCCAGAGGGAAATTGGAAGACGAGTGTAAGAAACCAGCCAGTGTTGTTTAATTCTGGTAATGACTATGACCAAGTGTAACAGTAACTAGGGACATCTTTTCCATACCCAATTTAATGTGTCACAGAAGTTATTATCAGCTTACCTTGATTTTTAATGGAAATTTCGTAAATAAAACTTCAAACTATTGAATTTAGTGTCATGTTTTCAGGTGACTGGTTCACTTCGAGGACATCAGCCTGTGGACTGTTTAGTGTATGTTACCAGAGAGTATCTGCTGGCGTTAAGGCAGAGTTGAGGCAGTAAGTACAGTAGATGACTAGGTATCTGAATATAGTCCAAGCTGTTTTTTGTTATACTATTTGATGAGTACTTGGTTATTTATTAAGCTTAGTGGACAATGTGGTTGTAAATCCCAATTTTCTAGAAAGGATAATATGTAATATGTAAAATGATGAAATGGAAAAATGTGTGTCTGTGAGAGAGAAAGAGAGAGAGAGAGAGAATATATATCATGAGATGTGATAAGATTACATCAGTCAGGAAATTTTAAACCTTACTTCATTTTTCAGACATTTCCGTAACTTGTGTAGCGATGACACCCCAATGGTACGCCGTGCTGCAGCAAGCAAATTGGGCGAGTTTGCCAAGGTGGTGGAAATCGAATACCTCAAGTCTGACCTTATCCCTTTATTCACTGCACTGGCCCAGGACGAACAGGTATTTAATGTACGAATTGTGTCTGCCGTAAAGCCAGGACCCTCAGCCAGATTCATGATCCAAATGCCCAGGTCCTGTGCATGCACACAAACATGTACACGTTTGCACGTTGTGCAGTGGTTGAATTTGCTACACACCTGCAAGCATCTAAAAAAAAAAACAACTAGGCTTACATAAAAAAAAAAAATGAAAAGTTATCAGTCTTGTCTTATTTGCAAGTAACTTGTTTAAATTTCTTTTACCAAGTTTGTGTGATTTTTGTAGTGAACAAGTGTTACTGTTCATCTTGTACGAAAACCTGCTTTGTTAGTTAGAAAGTTGGCAGACTGCCTGTGCGTGAATTTTGTGGCCAAGCTAGTAGTGTGTATGCTTTGCAAGATGACCGAAAAGTCCCCATGACAGATGTGTCCATCGAAACACTCCAGTGTCTTGTTTATGCTGCTGCTGCTGCTGTTTACAAGTACTATTGGGTTCGAAGCTTCTCTCATGGATTATTTTGAATTGTGAAAAATCATCAGCTGTGCATTGTTGTATAAAGGCTGTAAAGAACCAGGCAACAAGAGACATTAATGTTTGGATACTGAAAACTGCCATTGGTAAACAAGATATTTCGAGTACAATCAGACAGTTAATATCACCTTGAATTCAGTTCCCGTTTTTTTTAAGTAGGCCAAGAAAATGCCCCAGTTAAAAGTGATAATGTTTTAAAACCTGTAATCTATTTAAAAAAAAAACTGATAAATGCAGTGTTTTTAACCCCAGCATGAAGATAAAATGTTTTAGCTGGCTGTGATAGAAAGATGCCCGACCTACAGGTAAAAGGATCTTTAATAATGTTGAGGGTGCTGGCAGTGTATGTGTCAAAATAAGTTGTCTTGGTAAAACTCTACAGAACTAAGTTGTAAACAGCATGGTGCATGGCTATTGTTTTGAATGTGGTGGTGGGTAGAAAGGCGTTTGTTTGGCTGGTACTGGTAGTTTTGAGTTGCTATTTTGCTGATTTGAAATATTGATTGTGATAGCTTGATCCTTGTTTCAGGGGATGTATTCTAAAGCATAACTAGTACCACACTTGTGATTTTTACCTTATATTATGTGGTATTGCTCTCTTTCCCCAACAAAGTACTGTTCTACTGTTGTCTCGGGACAAGGTCAAATATTTCATTCTTTTGAAAAGAATGAAGACATTGCACGTGTTATGAAAAAGAATGTTGAAAAAGAGAGAATTAGATAAACAGAATTAGAATAGGGATGGCCAAGTTTCAATATTTACTTGGTTTTGGGGACTGATAGATTAACTGATAGTTTAACACTGTGCCTTGGACATGGATCATTTTATTACTGACAATTATTGAAACTCCTGTTGGGAACTTTACTTCCTTTACCCACCTTCTATGATTAACTGTAATTCTGCTTTTATCAAGGTTTTTGACACTAACAGTTCAAAGTGGGATGTTGAAGAAAATGACTGTTGGCATTTTAATCGGTGGTGACAGCTTTAAGAATACATCACCTAGAAAATGTTGTGGGAATATTTCATGGTCCTCTTTGTGTAGCAGTAGTAGAAGTAGCTTTGTTGATGTAAAGCTTTAGTTGTTTGTAATTAATTTGCTTAGTAAAAATTCAAGATGATCTGAACTAATTTAGTGATGTTGAAATAATTCAAGTGCATGGTTAAATCAGTGTTGTACTGTAGAGGCAGTTCCAGTGGTAATGACTGCAGGTCTGTAGTGCTTAATGGTGGCTGCTTTGTGCACTTGAAGTGATAGTAATTTGCACCTGGGTAGAACATAGAGCAAGGGAAGAAAATCACAATTATTAGATTAGTTCAGGTGTATCAATTCTCAGCATCTGTCAATCATCAGACAACGATGAGTGAACCTTGTTTATTGAAGTCAGTTGAGGATTTCTTGGATGTGACAAGTTGAAGTTGTGATTTTCTCCCTGACAGAACTACCTGCTAGATAATAAACGTTGCCCTCAGAGAACCACTTCATACTTGATGCAACTATTTTTAGGATTCGGTGCGCCTGCTGGCTGTGGAGGCCTGTGTGTCCATAGCGTCGCTGCTGCCTCATTCTGACACAGAGCAGTTGGTGATGCCGACCCTGAGGTCTGCCGCGGAGGACAAGTCATGGAGAGTTAGATATATGGTGGCAGACAAATTCACAGAGGTTGGTTGGTCAAAGTTATATACATATGTGGAAACAAATAACAAGTTTAAGATATCTGTTCTGTGATTCCCAGCATAGAACCCAAAATACAACATAAAGTAATGTTACAGATTAAGCTTTTTAACATTAAAAAAACAAATTAATCAACCCTTACCATCTCTACTTTCTGTATTATAATTATCAATGCATTCGGTAAGTAGCAGTATACATGAATCCAATATAATGTCATTATCCAGGTATGATACTGATTGATTAGTAATACATGAGACTGGGAAATAAATCTGACAAAATAACTGGCAAAACTTAGACATCCAAGATGTAGTTCAAATGTCCATGCTTTATAAAGATTCCAAAGAAATAAATATTATGTTGACAAGGAAAGTTTATCTGTTCGGCTTGAATTGCTGGTAGAAATACATCAAATGAGTTCTGGTAAAAAAACAAACAAACAAACAAACAAAAAAAAATCATCAACTTTCCCCTCTCCTCCTCCAGCTGCAGCATGCAGTTGGGCCAGAGATCACCAAGGCAGACCTGGTGCCAGCTTTCCAGAGCTTACTGAAAGATGTGGAGGCAGAGGTCAGGGCTGCATCAGCACATAAAGTTAAAGGTAAGGATGTTTGTCTTTTGAATTTGTTTTTTGGTTGAAGGAAGGGGGGGGGGATTAAATCAAAGTTTTCAGAACTTGATGGAGGGTGTTATGAACCGACATTGAGATATTAAGAAGAGGTGTTGGATAAGTTGCGGTATTTTTGACCTCGCCATAATGCTTTCATTGGATGCTCATATGATTATGCCTTAAATAGCTCAACTTATGATCATTCTCAGTTATATATATATATATATATATATATATATATATATATATATATATATATATATATATATATATATATATATATATATATATATATATATATAAAACGGTGAGTTTTGTCCAATTTGCAAAACAATGCTAAATGGCAGCTGTAGAGTGCAACTCTATATTTTCCAGAATTTTGCCAAGATTTAGACCCATCAGTTCGTGAGACTGTCATAATGACCAACATCCTGCCTTGTGTGAAAGAACTGGTCCTGGACACCAACCAACACGTCAAGTCTGCACTCGCCTCTGTCATCATGGGGCTTTCACCCATTTTAGGCAAAGACAAGTGAGTACAGCCCTTGCTTCGTTGAAGTATTGGTTGATGTTTTTGTTTCTGCTGAATTTTTTTTTTTTTAATTTTGTTATTTGTATTATGGAAGGGTTGGGGTGGAAAGTTGTCAGATATATGTGCACAAGGTTATAGGAGAAAAATACCAGTTTAGTGTTATAGTACATTCTTGTACACTAATTGCACATTTTATTTTATTTTATTTTTTAACCCAGGCGTAGTAAATGCAATTTTGCCATCTTTTCTCTTTCCAGCACCATAGAGCACTTGTTACCGCTGTTCCTGACTCAGTTGAAAGATGAGTGTCCTGAAGTCCGGCTCAACATTATCTCAAACTTGGACTGTGTTAATGAGGTGGGTGCTGTGACCCTGGGTGTTACAGAGGCTGGTTTAAGTTTAGACTGTTCTGGGTGTGAAGGGTGAAGATCAAGCACGTGCTGGCTAGTGTACTTCTGTTCTTGAGACCATCACACTGATAGTATGGTGGCTTGTTTGTACTTAAATCTTTACTTATAAGACTACTTTTGTCTCTTTTTTTCTCCCGAGTTCTAGATATCAACTACTGTTAAGTAAATGTGTATATTTGTATGTCTTAGGCTATAGGTATCAAACAGCTGTATAGTAATGGTGTATATTTGTGTCTCCTGAGTTTTAGATATCAACTACTGTTAAGTAAATGTGTATATGTGTGTCTCAGGTTATAGGTATCAAGCAACTCTCCCAGAGCCTACTGCCTGCCATCGTAGAGCTGGCGGAGGACACCAAGTGGAGAGTGCGCCTGGCTATTATAGAGTACATGCCCCTGCTGGCAGGACAGCTGGTAAGTCCTTGTAATACTGTGTTTCATTGTCTGCAAAAATGAACTTTGGCCCCGTAAAAGCGAAATTGCGCGTTTTTAAATTCAATTCTGATGGTTCCTAAGATTTGTCAAGGTTAGGTGTTGGGTCCCATGATAAATGTTCAGAGATTTTTGAAACCTAGGCTCATTTTGCTCTGGTGAAATTTATGAAAATTTTCTTATTATTTATTTATTTTCAATTATGAAGTGATATAAAAACAAATGAATGGTTTTGTTTCAGGGCGTAGAATTTTTTGATGAAAAATTGAACAATCTGTGCATGACCTGGCTAGTTGATCACGGTGAGTAGAAAAGGTTCTTGATTTCTTGCTGCTGTATATCATAAAAAAAAAAAAAGATTTCATAATGTTTTACATTATAATAAGAACATTTTTTCAACAGTTTGGTATAAGCGATCAAAAAATTATTTATAAGCCAAGGCAGATTTCAACTTTATTTAGGAGTATTTATTTGGAAAATTCATAACAGTACACCGTCATTTCTCTTTCCAGTTTTTGCAATTAGAGAAGCTGCGGCTCTTAATTTAAAGAAATTAGTTGAAAAATTTGGCACAGAATGGGCCTCTAATATGGTGGTGCCAAAAGTTATCCAGATGAGTCGAGACCAGAATTATCTGCACAGACTTACATGCTTATTATGTATAAATGTAAGTAGCGAGGCTTTACAAGAAAAAAATAAGGAAAAATTACAATATATATTTATACACATGTTCTTGTCACTGTATTGTCAACTGCGTTGTTTATATGTCATATATCTCGGTTTATATATTCACATTTTGTTATTACTGTAGTAGGTACGGTTTGTGTTTTATCATGGTATTTTTGCTGTGATTTACTACACATGGCATTGTTATTACTATAGTGGGTATGATTTTTGTGTTATATCATGGTATTGTTACTGCTGTTTCAGGTCTTAGCTGATGCCTGTGGGTGTGAGTTGACAGTGAAGACCATGCTGCCCACAGTGATAGGCATGTGCACAGACAACGTACCAAATGTTAGATTCAATGTAGCCAAGACCTTGCAGAAGCTGGGCCCACTTTTCGATCAAAAGTAAGAATTTGCTGTTTGGTGTTAAGATCAGAACCCACTGCCTCTTAAATTGAGGATTTTTATTTGTTCTATCAAAATAATATTCCTGGGGCAGTTTGCATTGGGCATGAAATAAATCTTTGAGGAGGGGTGTAAATCTCTTCTGTTTCACATACCATCTCACACAATTTCTCAGTAGTGATCAGGATAATTAAAAAAAAAAAAACCTTACAATAAAATCCTATTAAAAACTTGTCCATGGCAGCCTCCTTTCTTGGCCTCCTTTTCATCATAAGATATTGTAATGAGTCTTGTGCCTTTCTTCTTACTAGGCTGCTTTTATAATCAGAGGCTTAGTTTTATGTTAAGTGTCTGTATATTTGCAAGCTTCACTGTCTAGTTGTCATTTTTCTCCCAGCACAATTCAACAGCAGGTGAAACCAAACCTAGAAAAATTACGCCAGGATCCAGACGGAGATGTCCAGTATTTCTCACAGGAGGCATTAGAAGGTGGGTGGGCTCTCATTTTTTCTTCATTTATGTATTTTTGTGTTATGTCATGATGCTGTGTTTTAGGGCTAAAAGTTTTAGAACCAGATTGAAAAATCACACTAGTTTTTTTTTTTTTTTTTTTTTCACTTAATTCTCTATAAGAACAGAGAAAGGCATGATTTTCTAGATAAAATTTCTGCTGCGGCTGAAAGCTTTGAGCTGTATGTGTTATATAATGTGGCAGCTCATCCAAGTATTGTTTTGTGTAGGAGCGTGATTGTTGTAAATTTGTTGTACATAGTAGCTAAAGTGATATCTGCTTTCAGGAAATCCTCTACAGAACTTTGAGGGTTTAAAGGGAAAAGAATCTTGACACAGGATTGATATTTTTTTCTATTAAAAAATGTATACTATTTAAAAAAAACCTAAACTTCTGACAACTTCCAGAATTTGTGCAATTATCCTGAACTGAAAATGCCGTATGCATCTTGTTCATAAGTACTTGAGTCAAACTGATATCTGTGATAAAGACAGTTGGTACATGATCTTCGTTGCTTTCATTGTTCATGTTTTATATAATGTGTAGAAAAGACGCGTGGTATCTTTTAAAACTGGCATCTGCTTTCTCTGTTGCCTCAACTGCTATTGATATCCATCATAATTTCAGACCCATGCTATCGCTCTGCATTCGGGCTGTAGGGGCATTAGTAGTGCAGCTATGTAGAATGAAATGTGATCTGGTAAACAGTTTGTAACTGCCTGACTGCTTGGCAACCATGATGTGATTTGACTATTGTGATGCTAACTTAGTTTATGGTTATGTTGTTTAAACTAGCTGAGCTTTCTTATGTTAATGTATATTTTGAATTTTTCCGAAATGAAAATCTTTAACTTTTTCATTTTAAATTTTAACCCTAGAATATGTCTTTTCTCTGTGTGTCCAAGCTGCTGTGCTATTTTAAGCATGGTTTTTATTTGAGATTGTAATCTGTGAACCTTGTATAGAGTTGTTATTTTAAGGGAAAGTCCACTCCCCTCCCCAAACACAAAAACACACACATACTACCAATTCTGGTCTGAAAAGTCTATTTCGTACACCATTTTTCATCTGAATGAAATCCTGCCTTTTAAGCTGGACTTAAAATGCAATAATCTTGATTAAAATGGGACTTGACACAACATCTCTGGACAGGTGCCGATTGTCAACCCTACATGTTGAGAGAAATGTTTGACCTTCAGGTGAAGACCCCTAGAACTAATTGACCTTCAACTCCAGGTCTCAGTTAATGATGTTGGGGTTTATTTCAGATTTTTTTCCTGATGTTAACTGCATGTTCCTATTTCAGTCATTGTTAACCATACTGAGCTTCTGTGTATACAATGTAACATGATTGATGGCTGGTTTGTGTGCTTATAATCGAACAGTTAAAAAAACTTCATAACAATTTATCTTCAATATCTAAGCCATGGAATAACATTTGCTTCCTGGTATGCATATTGTGCAGAAATATTTAGGTAACCATGTTGCAGTGGGCTTCAAAAGTTCATCGTATGTTTTTAATTTAGAATACATATTCCTTTTAAAATTTAGCTGTCTTTGATATATGTTAGTTGTTGGAATAGAATTACTCTAATAACAACATTCTTCATCAGGTTTGATAAGTGCGAAATTATTAGTGCATAGATTTACCAATTACTAGCTCTGCTATTGAGAATAATTATGGTGGCTGTTTTGGAATAATCTGTTTAGTATGGTATAAAAGCTTGTATGTCAAATTAAAAGAAATTGGGACAAGCTAGAATTGCTTTTACTAAAAATGAAATGCTTTTTTTTTTACATTTAAACTATCATAATTCACACTGTTGGTGTAGCATGTGTTTATTTTTTTTTTCTAATGAATTCTTGTCTCTCTTATTTCAGTTTTGAAGATTGTGTGAGAAGACCAATGGGTTCAATTCAATAGACTTTCAACAAACTTAATAATACAGGATTGATATGGAGATTCTCCCCTAGAATTTCATCAAAAAATAGTAGTGAAAGCCTATGATTATTTTAAAGATGTCAGTTTGTGCGAGAACTCTGAAATATGCACAGTGAAGAACAAGCCAAAAATTGATGATATTTCCACAATTGAAAAAAAACTTCTGTAGAATTGTATCCAGTGCTGATGTACATTGAGGAACAATGCAGTATTGCTTTTATGTTTATTTATGTCTACTGTGAGATCAATGGGGAACGTGACTGTCAGCGACACATCTTCAGGGGAATTCCTCCTAAGTAAAATATACTGCACAAATGCTGATGATGGTTTGCTATGGAGTAAGAAGACTTCTGGCTAATTGTGTGTGGTGATCGGTGGTGATCAGTAAAGATTTGAGGAACTATGCCTTTGATGATCCATTTGTATTTAACTGGATCTGTTATTTTTATTACCTGTTGGTACAGGTGTATGAGGCGTAGATTAAATCTTCCTTTGATTTTTTTGCAAATAAGCCATTTTTGCCGCTAGTTCGATTAACATCCAAGACATGATAACGTTTTTCTATAGATTAAAGATGTTTACACTATCTGAATTAAAAAAAAAAAAAAAGCCACGTTTCAATGATAATTTTAAAAATCTACATCTACATCTGTCCAAAAAAATGGATCTCTTTTTTTTTTTTTAAGAAAAGGAAGTTCCCCAAGTAATGGAGCTTACAAGTGCGTAATTGTAAAGTATAAGAATAAATGTATGTACATTATTGCAATTACATATTATTGTTGTTATTAATTAATTTCTTTAAATTTATTTTCACTTCATTATTTAGTTATTTATTTGAGCGGTGGGCGTGTTGACTAGGTTTTAGCTGGCATTATTTTCGGCATAGAACTGCCGCCAAAGGCAGAAGCTTGGGAGTAAAAAATTGGACCTATTCATAAATCAATTGGGAAGGAGTATGTAAAAAAAGTTGCAGGGGACCACACAAAATAATAACACAAACCCTCCGGAAACGATACCGTTTATTCATGGAAATAATGATTGATTCACCATGTTTCTGTCGAACTGTTCTGAACAAGTTATTAAACGAAGATGATATTGTTAAGATCTTTGTCAGAAAGAGTGCAGTGCATATATGAGCACCTTTTTATATTAACGATGATGCTTCGTGGCCTAGAATGATAACTACTTTGGAAATGCACAACCTGGTTCCGTGTCGGAAACACCGCTATTTCAAGAAATTTTATCATCTTATGTAATGAGCAGTGAGTCTGCAAACTACAATTGATCCACCCAAAGATACATGTTAAAAAAACAAGAAAAAAATGTTACTGGGCCATGGGAAATGATTAGCATTAACAACGTAACTGCTTAAAATCTTTAAAAATTGGGAATAGAGGTAGGTTGGCAATTGTGCTCGGTTATAATGCAGATAGGGCCTATACATTTGAAAGTCGGAATGAATTTTTAGTAGTTTCTGGAGGGCATCTAAATTGCACCGAAACGTTAACTGTAGTTAAAATATCATACAGGTCATAAGAGAACAAATGGGAAAACAGTCCACCGTAGCTTGAGTATTTCAAAAATAACAATTCATCTCATGGGTGTATCCTAGATGAAGAAATAATCACTCGTACAATTGAGCAATTCGTCCAAACTGTTGTTGGCCATGCGTTTTTGTTCCTAGCCCAGTGGCGCATGCTCTCCTGCAGCTGGCTGTTGGTTAACAGCTACTTTTGTCGTAAAATTCGTACTGCTTGTTGAAGGGAGATCCACCCAGGCACTGCGCCAAGGCCAGGTCACACTGGCAGATCGCAGCGCGGCATGTACCGGAGAAGATGTAGGAAGATGCTGGCACTGAAAGATGTAGATTTCGTCCGGATTAGTTTGGTGGATGGGGTTTGGTAGGAATGGCTCACTCATGGTCACGCGCAAAAACGCATGCACACGTGTTGGCGGTTAACACACACACACACACACACACACACAGAGCAATAAATTTTTGTAGACAAATATCAGTTAACAAACAAACTATAACATTTAGACCACGGGTCCATGAACGGGTTATAACGCATTCATGCGAGATGTGCGGTTATGCGAGTTACACCACGTCTGAGTCTTTTGTTCTTCACTTCCACCGTGGTCCAAGGATGACATAATAATAATAATAATAATAATAATAATAATNCTCTGATCCTCTAGTTCACACTGTTGGTGTAGCATGTGTTTATTTATTTTTTTTCTAATGAATTTTTGTCTCTCTTATTTCAGTTTTGAAGATTGTGTGAGAAGACCAATGGGTTCAATTCAATAGACTTTCAACAAACTTAATAATACAGGATTGATATGGAGATTCTCCCCTTGAATTTCATCAAAAAATAGTAGTGAAAGGCTATGATTATTTTAAAGATGTCAGTTTGTGTGAGAACTCTGAAATATGCACAGTGAAGAACAAGCCAAAAATTGATGATATTTCCACAATTGAAAAAAACTTCTGTAGAATTGTATCCAGTGCTGATGTACATTGAGGAACAATGCAGTATTGCTTTTATGTTTATTTATGTCTACTGTGAGATCAATGGGGAACGTGACTGTCAGCGACACATCTACAGGGGAATTCCTCCTAAGTAAAATATACTGCACAAATGCTAAAAATGGTTTGCTATGGAGTAAGAAGACTTCTGGCTAATTGTGTGTGGTGATCAGTGGTGATCAGTAAAGATTTGAGGAACTATGCCTTTGATGATCCATTTGTGTTTAACTGGATCTGTATTTAACTGGATCTATTATTTTTATTACCTGTTGGTACAGGTATATGAGGCGTAGATTAAATCTTCCTCTGATTTTTTTGCAAATAAGCCATTTTTGCCGCTAGTTCGATTAACCCGGGTCTTATTTGTTTTCTACACCATAGTTTGACACATGATGCAATGACTATTTTCAACAAATTAAAAGCCCTTGATTAAAGAGAGATTGCATGCAGCGGAAGCCAATGAGTATTTCGGGTTGCTGTTTTAGTATTTAGACTAATGCTTGCATGTCAAGTTTTGGACAAATTTTGAAAGCAATTCTCTTAAAGAAAGAGACTAGAAAGTCCAAATGATGTCAGTGACTTGGATAAAGGGGTTGGTTGGGTAGAGAAGATGATCGCTAGACCTTAACATCCAAGACATGATAACGTGTTTCTATAGATTAAAGATGTTTACACTATCTGAATTTAAAAAAAAGCCACATGTTTCAATGATAATTTTAAAAATCTACATCTACATCTGTCCAAAAAAATGGATCTCTTTTTTTTTTTAAGAAAAGGAAGTTCCCCAAGTAATGGAGCTTACAAGTGCGTAATTGTAAAGTATAAGAATAAATGTATGTACATTATTGCAATTACATAATATTGTTGTTATTAATTAATTTCTTTAAAATTATTTCCACTTTATTATTTAGTTATTTATTTGAGCGGTGGGCGTGTTGACTAGGTTTGAGCTGGCATTATTTTCTTCGGCAATTAACTCCACATTTAAAATCAATCAAAGAAGGGAATAGAACTGCCGCCAAAGGCAGAAGCTTGGGAGTAAAAAATTGGACCTATTCATAAATCAATTTGGAAGGAGTATGTAAAAAAGTTGCAGGGAACCACACAAAATAATAACACAAACCCTCAGGAAACGATACCGTTTATTCATGGAAATAATGATTGATTCACCATGTTTCTGTCGAACTGTTCTGAACAAGTTATTAAACTAAGGATGATAATGTTAAGATCTTTGTCAGGAAGAGTGCAGTGCATATATGAGCACCTTTTTATATTAACGATGATGCTTCGTGGCCTAGAATGATAACTACTTTGAAAATGCACAACCTGGTTCCGTGTCGGCAACACCGCTATTTCAAGAAATTTTATCATCTTATGTAATGAGCAGTGAGTCTGCAAACTACAATTGGTCCACCCAAAGATACAGGTTAAAAAAACAAGAAAAAATGTTACTGGGCCATGGGAAATGATTAGCATTAACAACGTAACTGCTTAAAATCTTTAAAAATTGGGAATAGAGGTAGGTTGGCAATTGTGCTCGGTTATAATGCAGATAGGGCCTATACATTTGAAAGTCGGAATGAATTTTTGGTAGTTTCTGGAGGGCATCTAAATTGCACCGAAACGTTAACTGTAGTTAAAATATCATACAGGTCATAAGAGAACAAATGGGAAAACAGTCCACCGTAGCTTGAGTATTTCAAAAATAACAATTCATCTCATGGGTGTATTCTAGATGAAGAAATAATCACTCCTACAATTGAGCAATTCGTCCAAACTGTTGTTGGCCATGCGTTTTTGTTCCTAGCCCAGTGGCGCATGCTCTCCTGCAGCTGGCTGGTGGTTAACAGCTACTTTTGTCGTAAAATTCGTACTGCTTGTTGAAGGGAGATCCACCCAGGCACTGCGCCAAGGCCAGGTCACACTGGCAGATCGCAGCGCGGCATGTACCGGAGAAGATGTAGGAAGATGCTGGCACTGAAAGATGTAGATTTCGTCCGGATTAGTTTGGTGGATGGGGTTTGGTAGGAATGGCTCACTCATGGTCACGCGCACAAACGCATGCACACGTGTTGGCGGTTAACACACACACACACACACACACACACACACACACACACACACACACACAGAGCAATAAATTTTTGTAGACAAATATCAGTTAACAAACAAACTCTAACATTTAGACCACGGGTCCATGAACGGGTTATAACGCATTCATGCGAGACGTGCGGTTATGCGAGTTACACCACGTCTGAGTCTTTTGTTCTTCACTTCCACCGTGGTCCAAGGATGACATAATAATAATAATAATAATAATAATAATAATAATAATAATAATAACACCAACTCACCACACTGTGCGGGCGCTCTTGACCCACACCCCGTGTACCGATATGTCCTGAAGTACGGGTCAGTGTCAAACGGACATGTCCCCGTGGCCTTAACCTGACCGTAGCAGTTGTCGTGGACCTGGCAACAGCTGAAATATATATTTCTTTATCGATCAATTCAAGACCCTTCTAAGTAACTCACCCTTCTATGTAAACTGGTTAGATTCTCTCTTTTCTTTGTCATTTAACTTATTTCCAAAGAGATAAAATTTCTTTTCTTTTTTTATCAACTTTGCTTATTTCCAATACATTATTTTTTACTGTCTGTTACTTCTTCCAAAACCAGAAAAATAATAAAGTTACTACATTAGTATTAGTAGTGACTCTACTCGTAAATGTGCCATTTGCATTAATGGAAAATGCTCAATTTTTTAATTCTTTATTATTATTATTATTATTTTTGACAAAAAGAAATTGACGAGAAAAAATAGCGCGCTTTGCAAAAAGTAAAGTCAAATGCGTGCGTCCCCAGCACAATGTCCATATATCACTAAATCAAATTGACCTGATGTACGGATAAAGGGTTTAATCTTGGTAGTATGTATAAGAGAGAAAGAGAGAGAATGTGTGTGTGTGTGTGTGTGGATGCATCAAGGCAGGGGCGCATCAAAGATTGTTTGAGGGGATGGGGGCTTTTTTTTAGGAATTACAAGCCTCGGATGCGAATCCTACCCTCTCCCCCTTTGGCGTGGTGTTTTGGCGTGGTGCCATTTGGTACGGCTTAGAGCCATGATTCAGCTGGAAAAAAATTATAATTTCAAGAGGAGACTATTGGTGTGATTTTTTTCAGAAACCGAGGGGGGGTCAGGACCCCCCTGACAACCACCCCAAATCCGCCACTGGTTAGAGAGAGAGAGAGAGAGAGAGAGAATCAGGAAGAGAGAAGACGTACGCATCAGCGGCATCTACAGGAATCCCTTTTCCGCCAGGGCCGCAGTAACAGCCGTAGTATATATAGTCCAACTCACTGCGGCCAGTATAACAGGAGATGAGGTTTCCCAGCTGAAGCAAGTTCCCAAGCCTATGGTGATTGGTGTCGGTGGGAATCTTCAAACCTGGAAAACAAGTTCAAATTTTAACCAGTGAAAGTAATACAAATTAAATTTATTTTAATTATGGAGGTAATTTGATGAGTAGCCTTAAACCATTACAGCAGGAGTTGCACAAAGTCGTCCGTACGAATTTCAATAACATGTTCTAAAATATGTTTTTTTTGTATCCATGCTAGCTGAAACTGCAGCAAATGCTTTGAACAAACATCTTTATTTAGAAAAAATAAAACTTCTTTTTTGATCAGTTATGTTATCGTGAATGTAAAGGTAAGCCGTTTCCCACTTCAAAAAGAACCAAGTTTTAAATATATAACTATGTACATACGATATTGTCTATTCAGGCGAAAAAAAGTGCTCTGCCCATAGCTGGGGTGCTTATAAAAAGACAAGTGAACAAAATGAGACTATTTCCTTCAACCTTTATTGCCTCTCAATGAAGGATAATAGGACAAAATTATGTAGCTAGGAAACAGTCTAATCTTGTTCACTTGTCTTTTTATACGCTTATAAATGTATATATTGCTTTGACCCAGGACAATTCAAGGTAGAAAAAAGACAAGGTTTAAAAAAGCAACTTTCGGTTTTAAATAATAGACAGTTTACGTTTAATGTCATGTTCTACCAATTCTAGACGACCTGCCACAACTACCATTTTAAACCAAAGTACAAAAAACTTTTGATATTTAGATTGAATTATTCACTTTTGACTTCCCTTCTTTAGTTAGACCAGATTCCATTATATACATTCTTATAACAGTGTAGTTACATTTAGGGTGCACATTCTAAAGAACTTATCCATCAAGTTTGTTTTTTTTTAAATATCTGATCTAAAGTTTTATAGATTGGAAAACTTGGGCAAGGCTTACATTTTGAAATTTCTTTTACAGAGAAGTGGATATAAGATAATTTCTAACGAATCATATCATCGTCAATAATGTTGATACAAATCGTCAAATTGCAGGATTTGAAAGACATTGAGAGTGGTTTAATGTGCCATAGATTACTCGTCTAAATCAAAGACTGTAACTCTGAATGCTATGGAGTAAAGCCTGGGACAGTCGCCAATTTTAAATTTTGGGTGTACATGTACAACGTATACTGATTATGGTGAATGGCTTACTCAAATATATATATATATATATATATATATATATATATATATATATATATATATATATATATATATATATATATATCCCTACCCAGCGCTGGCTTTCATGTATAAATTGTTTATAATTGATTGAACTAAGTGGCACCCTGAAGCTGCTGCATCACACTTGTAAGGGGGAACTCATTTTAAATTTCACTTTTTAACAGATATTCAAAATTTCGAGAGCGTTTTGCTGGTAAAAGTATGCTGAGCAAATACAATCGCTTGGTTGGTATCTGAACGATATATAACGTTTTAAAATCGACCCGTTCGCAAGACCGCGGGTTGAACTCACCTGCAACGTTACGAAAGGGTTAGGTCAATTCGTGTCGGCTTTGTAGGTTTGAGGTTCAGTCATATGGCAACTGGCTGCGCGTAGGAAGATATTCAGAACGGAGCGCGTGCGCTGAGATGACGTCGCGATTGAAATTTTGTAAATTTCGCAACCAGCGCGGAAATTAAAGAATTGTACTTTATTACCTCTGAAGGTGCTTATGAAAAATTAAGGCATGGTAGCAGAGTTTATCACGCGTCTTTAGGTGTGAGATTTACCCAGAATCAAAGTGAAATGANGGTTATTGTTGGATATTGCCGAACCTACGGACGCAGTGTCAGTCCCCCCCCCCCCCCGCCCCTCCTCTTTCTCTCGGTCTTTTGCAAAGTTATATGACAGCATTCTTTCGTGTTGATAGTGTAAGATGACAGTATGTGGACAAAATCGTCATATTGGAAACGTGATCTTCGTAAGTATTGCTCTCTAACAGCAGGTTATTTAGCTCTCACACTGAACTCAAACAGTCCATATCACTAAGTATATCACTCGATGTGAATAGGGCCTAAGTAATACACATGGAAGTGGATATAAACCTAATCTCAAGGGAAGATAAGGCAACTTTCCTCCATTGAACACCCGCTTGCACTCGTCTCAGGCGGGCACGGATGTACCGATGATTGACTCAAGACATAAACTACAACAATCATACCTTGCTTCATGTGAACAACAGCACCCAAAGCTACATGGCAGAGTCCCAGTATCACCAAGATAACCGCCATCAGTACCTGATCACTTAGCATGCTGCTGTCACAAGACTCACTCTCCTGAGTGACGTCGAATAAACATTTCACCTCTTACCTAAGTAAAAGCTTTCTCACGTGACGCTTAGATCAATCTCGCGCACGTGATTTATGATGGAAACGTACCTGAATGGGGTATTCTTAACCTGTGTACTGCGCCAGTGTTAGCGATGCTTAATAAAGGATCATTTTCAAGGGGCAGAATGGGCGGGGGGAGGGGGGGGAAAGTTATTTGATCTTAAGGCTTGGTTTTGGGCTGTTATATCAGCATATGTCATAATGTCATAATATATAGAATTTTTTCGTTCCTGTAGGTCTAAGAGTAGTATATATAGGTTTTTCTATTTTTAAGGGATGACATAAACCCACCACCTAGTTTTACTAAAGGCGCACGCGCGCGCGCGCGCGCGCGTGTGTGTATGTGTGTGTGTGTTGGTGGGTGGGTGGGGCCGTACTGCTAACATCCAATTTCAACTTTACATTATCCTTTCATTTAAAGTTTTTAAATGCGTTTACCAGTTCACTTTTTCTTAATCATTTGGCTCTGTCCGAAAAATCAATACCGTCTCTCGCCATCTCTGGCCTCTCAGTGTATGACCGTTCAATTCTCCCCTCCTGGAAATGGTCGAGGTGCCGACCCCCGCCCCCTCCTACCCATTTTGTCCTGTGCCCCCTCCATTCACCCTTTCTTCAAGCACAGCACTGTGCTCGGTTATAACCTCGTACACCAAACACAATGGTAACATCACACTGATTTTTGTAGTCAGGTAGGCTCTGTATTACAGTTTTCGCAAGTTCACCTCTGCTTTTTTCCCTGAGCAACCATGCAATCACAGACATCAGCTTTTAAAAGATGAAGTGAAAGAAATACTATTGTTGAAGCTGAACTTATTATGAAAGGGGATGTTATATAAGCAAAAATATTCTAATGAAAGAGATTTTGGTGAAGTTTTTGATATTTTCCCATTGATATCTTAAGTCAGTTTCACTTTTTCCTCACCCAATGAATCCATATGCGTTTTGAGACTTACCTATTTTTTAAATTTCGTAGTAATATAATGGTTGAAATTGCAAAACCCACTTTATGTACCACCCCCCAGAATAAATAAATAAATAAAATAAATAAATGAATAAATTAAATAAAATAAAAAAATAGCATGACGTGTCAAATAATGCTGTATAATGGTAACCAACTATACAACAAGGTTCGATTTATTTCAAATAACATTTCAATGTAAACAATAGAAAAAACATGAACAAGGGGATCAATTCCCTCATTTGTTTAAGAGTCCAATTAAATCGCTAATGGATCAAGGGGTTCTTTACGTGAGGGAATTAGGTGGACAAAAAATTGTACAGGGTACAAGGACAGAAGAACTGGTCAAGGGTAGATCTTTACATTAGTAACATTATTATTATTATTATTATTATTATTATTATTATTATTATTATTATTATCGTTTGCTATATGGGCACTTAAAAAAGGTTTCAAGTAGGCTACATATATTTATATCATTAACTTTCTAGAATGCTAGTAGGGCCTATTTATACCGATTCGTAGAAATGTGCTTACAATAAACTGTAAAAAGAGAAAGTTCAGTGATAAATATGTAAAATATGATTAAGAAATTAAGATAAGGCAAAATGTTGGCAAACTGAAAAAAGAATAAAATTAAACATTTTAATTGCCAGAAATGGTCTAGGCCCGCATGGAAACATAAAGCTAGAACAACGCCAAGGGGAATTTAACCCCTCTTTAAATTTTGTTTTAATTTCTTCAAAAGCTTAAATATCCTTTCTTGGAACAGCTAATTTTTTTCACTTGTGGACAAAAATTGTGAACTGAAAAACATATGCATATTTTATGAGAGGTGACGTGAAGAAACCAATGTGGGACAAGCGAGATATATAAATATAGAAGTGCTTGTTTGAACACTAATGTTTTGCTTTATCCAAGTCGTCCAACTCCCTATTCAACTTATGCAATGTAATATGCACCATTGTTTGCAACAAATACCTCAGCCAGAGATCGATCGATTTCTCCCTGCAGTTGAGCAATACGATGCCGTTGACAAAAGGATCTGTTATTATTTGTATGTTGCCATGGACGCAATCATGTGACCATTTCTCAAATATTCAAGATGGAGGAAAGCGAGTGGAGGTGGTTCGCGAAGTGTTGGGTTGTACTTACGATAATTTTCATCTCCTTGCCACAGAGAGCTGACAGTGTTATAGTAGAAGGAAACTTAACGACAAGAGAGGTAAGTGTGGAGGATTAAAAATGAGCATCTATGACTCTGCCTTACTCCCCACGCGCACCTGCCTGTTTAAACGAACCCGACAAAACAAGATGGCGGTGATTTATGACGTGAAAGTTTTAATTTTGAATCATAACTAGTTATGACATTGGTTGTGGTCGCCCAGAAAGCTCAAGAATCGAATAATTTAAGTATGACTTACAATGCGCTATTTGAAGAAAAGTTGATTTTTTGTTCCAGCGGTTTTAGAAGTGGTGTGATTTAATTGAATAAAGTGTTTTGTAATGAGTATACATACTGGGGGCATTGTGCGTTAAATCGTGAGGAATGAGAAAAATAGTTTTCTTCGTCAACGCAAACAACTTTGAAAGAATGGAATAAAGGCAACGGCCCTTTGATTCATGGTTTATTGGAGGTAACCTAAGGTGATCGCCCATGACCCGAAAAAAACCGAGACAAATCTTATAATAATGATTCAAGATGTTTGGTTTCGTTTTAATTTTATATTTATGAAGAAAACTTCACATCAAAAGCATGGGTATAAATTCAATTCCTCAGCATTGAATTCTAATAAATTAATTTAAAGAACACATTAAAATTTTTCTAATAGGATGGCACATGGACTTAGATCTTGGTAAATCTGTAAAAATCATACTCATGAAATGTCCAGTATAAATTGTTTCTCAAATGCATTTATTCCGTGAATATAATTTAAAAGTAATGCAACTGGTATATCTTTAGTCAGTTCTCATATAGCGCCTTTACAGTGTATATTTTAAAAGCATTATCCTTTGAGAAAGAAATGATAGTTTGATTTTTTAAAATTTTCTTTCAGGATTGGGTATTTCTTACAAGATTCTGCTTTTTATCAGATGATGGAGAGCTGAGCTTTACTTTTATAGTTCCAGAGGTGAGTTTTTAGTAATTAAACAAAATTGTTATCTCCCACTTGTTTTATTTTCACCCCCCTCCCCATGTCCTGTTTTCTGTCCCTACTTATTTTTCTGAGCTTACTTAAGCCATAGGTAAAATTTACCAAACTCTAAAGATAGTTCTTACCTTGACCAAAAAAAAAAAAAAAAAAAAAAAAAAAAAAAAAAAAAAAAAAAAAAAAATCGCCAGTTTTCACTGTGTTTGCTTTAAATTTGGGATTTACAAATAAATTCCGTCTCTTTGGTTTCACCATGTTTGTCATTATAAAGAAAAATGTGATGCTAAATCAAGAAGGGAAACAGATGGTACATTTTCACTTTGGGAAACAGTGGTTATTATTTATTTTTGATAAAAGCTCCTATGTTTGTATTTAGTCTACTAACCTCTATTTAAAAATCTTTTTTCTCTTACTATGACACAAATTATTTTTGATCTGGTGCTTCAAATTCTTTTCTTTTTCATAATGCATGTTAGTTACATTATCCAGTTATTATTTTCAGGCATTTATTTATTGAATTAGGGGTGTAATTGTCCATGTTCTACAAACTACTTAGCGTCGGTCTCGTTTCTCTCAGCTTTTGTATTAGTTTTATTTTTTGTGCTTTAACAAATCCAAATGGAATGGAACCAGATACTATATATTTCCTGTTTTTGTCCAAGTTATATATAACCAATGTGGCCAGGAACAGGAGCAGGTAGATTTGCACCTTTTCAGGCTGTCGAGAAAAAAATCGATTCTTCTTCCAAGTGTGAAACATGCACTGTGGTAAAAGGGCCAGCAGCAGTGAGGTTGATCAAATTTAATTAGCAAATTTTCTGCTATATGAAATGAAGCTGCTGGGATTACTGCCTTTAATACTGTTTCTGAATATAGAGAATTTATAGAATTATTGCCACATCCCAAGCAGTGTGATTGTCACATTGTCTAGATCAGTGACAAAAACGGTTTTCAAAGGGTGAACGCAATAATGTTGGATAGATTGAAGACATACAAAAGGCAGACAAACTAATGAATAGGNAGATTTAATTAGCAAATTTTCTGCCATATGAAATGAAGCTGCTGGGATTACTGCCTTTAATACTGTTTCTGAATATAGAGAATTTATAGAATTATTGTCACATCCAAAGCAGTGTGATTGTCACGTTGTCTAGATCAGTGACAAAAACACTTTTCAAAGGGTGAACGCAATAATGTTGGATAGATTGAAGACATACAAAAGGCAGACAAACTAATGAATAGGCCTAGATTTAATATCTCTCATGTTGGCCCTATATGACTCATTGAAAATTCAATTTGATGTCGCTGTATGTAATTGCATGTAGCACAAAAGAGATAAACTTCATATGTAACACTTGAAGCAAGAATAATTGTCCAAAATGACAACCCGTTAGGCGATATTCATTATATTAGCATTGGAATGTGCATTTGGTCTGCCTCCGTTGAGTGAATTTAAAATATGATTTGTTATGACTGTGAAAGATAAAATGACATTTGATTTTATAGATTTTCATCAACACATTTTTTTTGAATACAATGCTTTTTTAATGAACTTATACTAAAAAGAAAAGTCATGTTTCAACAGGGCCATATGTTTCTAAGATTACTAACTCTGATTTTCTTGAAAATGCCAGTCTCCAAAGTACATGCATGAGTATGATAGTATAATATGAAGTGAAGGAGTAAAGAAATACCTTTTGCAGAACAGAAATATAAATTTGGAAATGTATGGCTTAATAAAACATTGGGCAAATTTTTCATAAAACATTTTATTATTTAGACTCCAGCATAGTAACGTTTCACAGAAGAATCTCAAGTTGAAAACATATAAAAAACTTAAACATAACTTTGAGAATTCAAAGAAAAGTATCTCTCTACCTTTGCCGACCAAGCCTGGTGTAAAAATATGAATAAAGGGACACGTGTTTTTATATGGACATGTTAGAAATGGGTGGTACAAAGGAACGCTCACAGTTGGTGACATTGTAGGAAATCTGCAATAATTAGGCGTACACTTGAAGTTTACCAAGGAAAGCAGTTTAACAGGGTCAGCCAGAATTGACGGCTTAAAGCTTTTTTTCAAACATTAATTTTATGAATAAATTGATGTCAAATGACACATTCTTGAAAAGATTAAAATTTTAAAAGTTGTACTTAATAAGAGTCGGATTTAGAGAGAGTTTTCCGAGCCTTATTTTGAAAACTGTAGCTTAACATTCTAGATTATAAATAAATACTTTATCCATTTTATATTTGATAATTTTTTCCACATGAATTTTGATGTTACATTGAAATAAGTTCCTTGTTAGAAATTTAAAGTTTCCAGACTCCTTTTTTAAAAGTGGACCAGATACCGTGCACAGAGAAAAAAAAAAAAAAGAATAATGATAGTCAAAGCCTTTTCATCAAAAACATGCAGTGAACATGCTAGCAGTGTTTGTATAATTGATTTTGTGGCCATTAGCTGCAATTTTTAAAACAAAAGCATCATGGAAACTGCCAAAATCAATCATGTACTGGTAAAAAGGTTTTATATTCTCTGTATTCAGCAGATTTAAATGTTAGGTCAGCACACTGCATAGTAAAATGACTTTTTTCCAACATTAATTTGTATTCGAACAGTGACAAGTGATGCCTGGAAAAGTGAATCTATGGCTGCTATTATAAAAAAAAAAATGAATTTAATAATGATAATTGTTATTACAATAGTTATGAAAAATGAAAAGCAAATCAGAAAATCATAAACAGTTTAACTTTAAATAGTGAAAGTTCAAGTAAACATTGAAATAAGATATAAATAAAAACAATCAAATAGTAGTTAATTAAAAAAAACACTTTTTGGGAAAATATTTAAGATTTTTTTAATCTGATAGACCTTATTTCATAAATAAAAGCCACCAGTCTATATAACATTTATATTTCGGAGGAGCTACTGTATGTATATTCCATCCGTTGTGCAACATGCCCATCCCTTTATCAGAAGCGCTCATATACGTATCTTGCCAAGTTGCTTAGTTGTGCTGCTTCCATAAGTTTAATACAGTTACATTTTGTAACATGACTACGCAAATCTTTCATAATTCTGTCAATACTCCTGGAGTTCTGCCAAGCAGGGGGAAATAAAAATGGCCTGTAGAGCCTTATTTTGAATTGAAGAAATCTCTTTCTGTGTTTATGTACAGTATGTAACATTTGTTTCTAAAAAGGTCATCAAAGGCCTCAGTTGTGGTCTGCATGGCCTCTGTTTTGGTCACTGGAGTACACTTGGGGGCCCTCTCTATCTCAAAACACACCTGCCATGTTGTTTATCTGCATATTAACCCAAAATGTCCTTGTGTATTGGGAAAATTGAGATATAGAACCATAAGGACCACCAGCCTTATGTCTATAAGGGCTTTCAGAACAGGTTAACCTGGGGACTAACAGATCCAAGGACTCAATATGGCCGACTCACTTAAAAGCAGTGCCAGCTTATCTCCTGATGGCCTTCCTGCCTCTACATGCTACTTCACTGCTGGGGCCTTGCAATTAAGTCTCGGAGCAGAGATTTAATCCATTTTAAGGTGCCTTTGGCAGTGGAGAGACCATCAGATGATTAAGTAGTGCTGCTTTTAAGAGCGGTCGGCCATATTTAGTCAGGAGATCAGCTAGTCTGCGGATCATCTGCTCTGAATGTGCTCTTTGTTTATCCCTAATGCTAAGAAATAACTATATTAAATTGGGTGTATGTTTGTGAAAGTAATTCTTTTCATCTTGTCATTTTAGGATTATGGCGTAGAAGAAGTCCTCCTTTATTTTGATGATCCGTCTCAGTGGGCCTCGGTGTACAAAGTTCCTGGTTTGGTGAGTTGAACCATTACGATGATGTATTTTATTATCAATCACAAATGAATTATAAATAAAAAAATCTAGAGCTTTGTTCTGGTTTGTGCATTCGGCAGAGAATATATATATTTTTTTGTTCTTTTAGCATTAAAATGATTTCCTGGAATCATGCCATTAGTTTTGCTCTGTTGGAAGCGTGATTGATTTTTGTGAAAAAAAAAGTGAATTATATATATTTGTTTTCATCTGTAAATATTTTATTAAATTTCTTAGTGTTTTTTTTCAACTTATTTGTCAAGCTAAATTGTATTGTGTTAACCCAATATTAGATATTATTTTAAAATAAGGTGTGTATATATTTACTAAATGAGCCAGCATTTTTTGTTTGTACAGGGCTGGGCTGTCTGCAATCAAACGTTTATAGATGTCAATAAAATTTCTTAATGTATGAGACATACTATCAGCAGGGCTGATATCTTGAATTTGTAATTTTATTCTCTGCAGTAATTTTGTTTGTTTCTTCAGTTATGCCAAAATGATTGTGTGGACATTCTTTGTCATGTACTAGTAATGATTTTAAAATATTGCTGTGGAATCCATGTATTTTGCTTGTTGTTTACACGACAAAAAGTTATGGAAATTTCGAAAACATCTTATGAAATGTTGCTCTGAAGTTCTACCAAATAAGTTTTTTTCTGTAGCAAAAGTTAGGGTTATCATGCTGAACATTTTGTTTGCTAGCAGGTGTGTTCATATGGCTTCATAAACCTGATATAGAAACACCCTACAGTCATTAGCTGCTAGGATATACTGAGATTTACTTGTTGCCACAAGGGGTAGGGGTCTATAAATCTTAACACTTGTCCCTTTTTTGATTCTAAAGATTAAAGCAAAATGTAGGTCAGCCTTTTTGTCTCAATTTGTCCTCAGTAAACTACGTAGGCATTGTGTACAAAGAAACTTTGGGGTGTGTATATTTTGTTGTCACGCAGGCAGGATGAGGTAAAGCCATATGTGGGCAACCTGGAAACACCATAGAATATTTGCTTGCTTAACATGCAAAGTAAACATTGTAGTCTCTATTATATGAATAATATGTTCTAGTTTCTGACTTGGTTGTGCTCAGAAAAAAAAAGAGATTAAGTAAATTGCAAGAAAAATTAAGGAATAAAATTTAGAAAAAAAAAAAAAACAACAACCAAAAAACAATGTCATATATTTTTGTCAAGTAAACTTTCCACTTACCTATTTAAACTAATATTAAAATCCAAACAATTTTTGCCAACTGTTTAGTAATGATTTTTATGCATTTTTTAGTCTGCCACAAGAGATTTAAAGTGGCTAAGACACTTGCATAACTTCCATCTTCTTATTCAATGTTTGCAGGAATGTAGAAATAAATACCGAGTTATTAACCATAGTCTGAATCAAGCAATCCGATTGGATCTGGCCTCTCATTGGTCAGGGTGTAAGCCAATCACTGTTGACGGCCAACGCAAATTGCGTTGTCGTGGATCTAGGAACTTTAAGGCTCCTAGAGATAGATGGTGGTATATTGCAGTCAGTAATTGTAGCACAGTGAAGGTAAGACAGCAGTTGATTGGTCAGTGGGGATCGCAGAGGCAGCTCACTGCACTGAAGCTGATTTCTGTCGGTGATTTAAACCCCGGAAATTAACTTGGTCTGCAAATTGATCATATTTATTACTCCCTTGCACTGTACATGTTTTGGGTTGAGCTGGGATTTATTTGATGTAAATAAATTACTGTCTATGCACAAAGTACATGGCAGTGAAGCAGGAATAATCCTTGGCTCTTGGTATAAGTGCATTGCAGTGTAAGGTGTGGTTGCAAGCCAAAAAAAAAAAAAAAAAAAAAAAAAGACAAGGGAGAGAAAAGAAAAAAGATCACCAGGCAAAATCAGCTTCTAATTATGTGCATTTTCCAAATCGGCTGTTCTCTGCTGTAATTTTTGTCACCTATGTAGAGCTAGTTAGCACTGTCTTATCAGTTTGATCATACTTCTTATTTTGATTATTTTCTAGACATGCTCAGAAAAGAAAGTGCCCATTGATGACGCTCGAAACCAGAAAATTACTTTATCAACTTCTTACTACTGGGCTGGCTGTAAATATGACACCACGCGGCGGCCCGGCCGACCCGTTTACGTTTGCCAGGGCGGACGAACTTTCAAATCGTATCGCGCTCGATGGTGGTTTATTGGGTTGGCTAATTGCAGTACCACCAAGGTAAACGTCCACTGTGCTAACATGGTGCCCTAATGTGTTGTAGAACTANAAATTTAATTAGCAAATTTTCTGCTATATGAAATGAAGCTGCTGGGATTACTGCCTTTAATACTGTTTCTGAATATAGAGAATTTATAGAATTATTGCCACATCCCAAGCAGTGTGATTGTCACATTGTCTAGATCAGTGACAAAAACGGTTTTCAAAGGGTGAACGCAATAATGTTGGATAGATTGAAGACATACAAAAGGCAGACAAACTAATGAATAGGACAAGATTTAATATCTCATATGTTGACCCTATATGACTCATTGAAAATTTAATTTGATGTCGCTGTAAGTAATTGCATGTAGCACAAAAAAGATAAACTTAATATGTACCATTTGAAGCAGGAATAAATGTCCAAAATGACAACCTGATATTCATTATACTAGCAGTGGAATTGGTCTGCTTCCGTTGAATGGATTTTAAATATGATTTGTTATGACTGTAAAAGAAAAAAATGACATTTGTTTTTATAGATTTTTGTCAACACACTTTTTTGAATGCAATTTTTTTTGTGAATGTTTAATTTTAAAAAAGTAACACATCACATAGTAATGTACCACAGAAGAATCTCAAGTTGAAAACATATAAAAAACTTAAATATAACTTTGAGAATTCAAAGAAAAGTACCTCTTTACCTTCGCCGACCAAGCCTGGTGTAAAAATATGAATAAAGGGACACGTGTTTTTATATGGACATGTTAGAAATGGGTTGTGCAACGGAATGCTCACAGTTAGTGACATTGTGGTAAATCTGCAGTAATTAGGCGTACACTTGAAGTTTACCAAGGAAAGCAGTTTAACAGGGTCAGCCAGAATTGAGGGCTTAAAGCTTTTTTTCAAACATTAATTTCTGAATAAATTGATGTCAAATGACACATTCTTGAAAAGATTAAAATTTTAAAAGTTGTACTTAATAAGAGTCGGATTTAGAGAGAGTTTTCCGAAGCTTATTTTGAAAATTGTAGCTTAACATTCTAGGTTATAAATAAATACTTTATCCATTTTATATTTGATAATTTTTTTCCACATGAATTTTGATGTTATATTGAAATAAGTTCCTTGTAAGAAATTTAAAGATTCCAGACTCCTTTTTGAAAAGTGGACCAGATACCGTGCACAGAGAAAAAAAAAGGAATAATAGTCAGAGCCTTTTCATCAAAAACATGCAGTGAACATGCTAGCAGTGTTTGTATAATTGATCTTGTGGCCATTAGCTGCAATTTTTTAAACAAAAGCATCATGGAAACTGCCAAAATCAATCACGTACTGGTAAAAAGGTTTTATATTCTCTGTATTCAGCAGATTTAAATGTTAGGTCAGCACACTGCATGGTAAAATGACTTTTTTACAACATTAATTTGTATTCAAACAGTGACAAGTGATGCCTGGAAAAGTGAATCTATGGCTTCTATTATAAGGAAAAAAAGAATTTAATAATGATAATTGTTATTACAATAGTTATGAAAAATGAAAAGCAAATCAGAAAATCATAAACAGTTTAACTTTAAATAATGAAAGTTCAAGTAAACATTGAAATAAGATATAAATAAAAAACAATCAAATAGTAGTTAATTAAAAAAACACTTTTTGGGAAAATATTTAAGATTTTTTTAATCTGATAAACCTTATTTCATAAATAAAAGCCACCAGTCTATATAACATTTATATTTATATATATTTATATTTATATATATTTATATTTATGTATATTCCATCCCTTGTGCATCATGCCCATCCCTGTATCAGAAAGTTGCTTACTAGTAGTTGTGCTGCTTTCATAAGCAAATCTTTCATAATTCTGTCAATACTCCTGGAGTTCTGCCAAGCAGAGGGAAATAAAAATGGTCTGTAGAGCCTTATTTTGAATTGAAGAAATCTCTTTCTGTGTTTATGTACAGTATGTAACATTTGTTTCTAAAAAGGTCATCAGAGGCCTCAGTTGTGGTCTGCATGGCCTCTGTTTTGGTCATTGGAGTCCACTCAGGGCCCTCTCTATCTCAAAGCACACCTGCCATATTGTTTATCTGCATATTAACCCAAAATGTCCATGTGTATTGGGAAAATTGAGATATAGAACCATAAGGACCACCAGCCTTATGTCTATAAGGGCTTTCAGAACAGGTTAACCTGGGGACTAACAGATCCAAGGACTCAATATGGCCGACTCACTTAAAAGCAATGCCAGCTTATCTCCTGATGGCCTTCCTGCCTCTACATGCTACTTCACTGCTGGGGCCTTGCAATTAAGTCTCGGAGCAGAGATTTAATCCATTTTATGGTGCTTGCGGCAGGAAGACCACCAGGTGATAAGTAGTGCTGCTTCTAAGAGCGGTCGGCCATATTTAGTCAGGAGATCAGTTAGTCTGCGGATCATATGTTCTGAATGTGCTCTTTGTTTATCACTAATGCTAAGAAATAACTATATTAAATTGGGTGTATGTTTGTGAAAGTAATTCTTTTCATCTTGTCATTTTAGGATTATGGTGTAGAAGAAGTCCTCCTTTATTTTGATGATCCGTCTCAGTGGGCCTCGGTGTACAAAGTTCCTGGTTTGGTGAGTTCAGCCATTACGATGATGATTAATGTACCTTGTATTTGATTATCAATGACAAATGAATTTTAAATAATAGAAACTGAGCTTTGTTCTGGTTTTTGCATTTGGCACAGAATATTATTATTATCATTTTTTTTTGTTCTTCTAGCATTAAAATGATTTCCTGTAATCATACCATTAGTTTTGCTCTGTTGGAAGCATGATTGATTTTTTGGGAAAAAAAATGAATTATTTATATTTTTATTTCATCGGTAGATATTTTGTTAAATTACTTAGTATATTATTTTCAACTTATTTGCCAAGCTAAATTGTATTGTTTTAACCCAAGATTAGATTTAATTTTAAAATAAGGTGTGTATATGTTTACATAATGAGACAGCATTTTTGTTTGTACAGGGCTGGGCTGTCTGCAATCAAACGTCTATAGATGTCAATAAAATTTCTTAATTTATGAGACATACCTATCAGCAGGGCTGATATCTTGAATTTGTAATTTTTTTCTCTGCAGTAATGTTGTTTGTTTCTTCAGTTATGCCAAAATGATTGTGTGGACATTCTTTGTCATGTACTAGTAATGATTTAAAAATATTGCTGTGGAATCCATGTATTTTGCTTGTTGTTTACACGACAAAAAGTTATGGAAATTTCGAAAACATCTTATGAAATGTTGCAGTGAAGTTCTGCCAAATAAGTTTTTTCTGTAGCAAAAGATACGGTTATCATGCTGAACATGTTTGCTAGCAGGTGTGTTCATATGGCTTCATAAACCTGATATAGAAACACCCCACAGTCATTAGCTGCTAGGATATACTGAGATTTACTTGTTGCCACAAGGGGTAGGGGTCTATAAATCTTAACACTTGTCCCTTTTTTGATTCTAAAGATTAAAGCAGAATGTAGGTCAGCCTTTTTGTCTCAATTTGTCCTTAGTAAACTATGTAGGCATTGTGTACAAAGAAACTTTGGGGTGTGTATATTTTGTTGTCACGCAGGCAGGATAAGGTAAAGCCATATGTGGGCAACCTGGAAACACCATAGAATATTTGCTTGCTTAACATGCAAAGTAAACATTGTAGTCTCTATTATATTAATAATATGTTCTAGTTTCTGACTTGGTTGTGCTCAGAAAAAAAAAAGAGATTAAGTAAATTGCAAGAAAAATTAAGGAATAAAATTTAGAAAAAAAAAACAACAAAAAACAATGTCATATATTTTTGTCAAGTAAACTCTCCACTTACCTATTTAAACTAATATTAAAATCCAAACAATTTTTGCCAACTGTTTATTAATGATTTTTATGCATTTTTTAGTCTGCCACAAGAGATTTAAAGTGGCTAAGACACTTGCATAACTTCCATCTTCTTATTCAATGTTTGCAGGAATGTAGACATAAATACCGAGTTATTAACCATAGTCTGAATCAAGCAATCCGATTGGATCTGGCCTCTCATTGGTCAGGGTGTAAGCCAATCACTGTTGACGGCCAACGCAAATTGCGTTGTCGTGGATCTAGGAACTTTAAGGCTCCTAGAGATAGATGGTGGTATATTGCAGTCAGTAATTGTAGCACAGTGAAGGTAAGACAGTAGGTGATTGGTCAGTGGGGATCGCAGAGGCAGCTCACTGCACTGAAGCTGATTTCTGTCGGTGATTTAAACCCCGGAAATTAACTTGGTCTGCAAATTGATCATATTTTTATAACTCCCTTGCACTGTACATGTTTTGGGTTGAGCTGGGATTTATTTGATGTAAATAAATTACTGTCTATGCACAAAGTACATGGCAGTGAAGCAGGAATAATCCTTGGCTCTTGGTATAAGTGCATTGCAGTGTAAGGTGTGGTCGCAAGCCAAAAGAAAAAAAAAAAAAAAAAAGACAAGGGAGAGAAAAGAAAAAAGATCACCAGGCAAAATCAGCTTCTAATTATGTGCATTTTCCAAATCGGCTGTTCTCTGCTGTAATTTTTGTCACCTATGTAGAGCTAGTTAGCACTGTCTTATCAGTTTGATCATACTTCTTATTTTGATTATTTTCTAGACATGCTCAGAAAAGAAAGTGCCCATTGATGACGCTCGAAACCAGAAAATTACTTTATCAACTTCTTACTACTGGGCTGGCTGTAAATATGACACCACGCGGCGGCCCGGCCGACCCGTTTACGTTTGCCAGGGCGGACGAACTTTCAAATCGTATCGCGCTCGATGGTGGTTTATTGGGTTGGCTAATTGCAGTACCACCAAGGTAAACGTCCACTGTGCTAACATGGTGCCCTAATGTGTTGTAGAACTAATATATCTTTTTTTTTCTTTTTTTGAGTGTCTGTGTGTTTTTTTTTATCACTCATACACCTAACACTACCAAGCATGCCTTTGGTAATAGCTAGATTGAATTTTATACTAACAAAAGCCTACTAGGTAGATGTGAGCCTAGACTAATTAGCATTTTATCAATATATCAATCTTGCACTTTTTTCACTTCTTTTTATTTATTCTTTCATTTGCGCTACAGGCTCAATTGAAAGGTTGTACTAATACCCCATGTTAACATTATTTGTATGCAAATTGACCTCGTGAATTGATTTGAAATCTATTAGTATATATTTGGAATAATATTCTTTGTGAATTGTGAATGAATTTTGCTTGTTGGATTTTTCTACTGGAATGCAATGATAATGCAAAACAATCATTCTTTTATATTTCCACAATTTGAAAAAAAAAAATTCCCTCTCCTTTTTGTTGTCGATAACAAACTAACTTTCCAACTCTTGTGATAAAACTATTTCCTTTATAAAACATCAAGGATTAAGTCATAATGATTTTGCAAAGATGGCAAGCTGATTTAATTGTCACGCAATGAAAAAGCTTTGTTCAGTTTTTACCCCAAAGAACTCGCTATGTCTGCTTTATGTGGAAGTGAACCACTTTTGTGAATTTCCTTACTAATGTTGTTTCTGATTATAGTGAAACTAAGTTGCTTTTGAAAGCTTGAAGAACTGTGGTTGCCCTGTTGTAGGTTTAGAAGTCATCAATGTGGCTCTTTCGTCTTTTCTGCTTCTGCTGAACATTTGATTTGCTTTGTATATGTAAATGTAATTGGAGCTTTTTTTATCAATAAAAAAGACAAAATATTCAAATGCATGGATTTAACTTTATTTGCCTATATTTTGATTTTTGTTTTGATGCAATAAACATTCTCTTCCATATGTTAATTTTGTATATTGCTTAGAAAAAGTACTTGCTTCTGTTGCAAAAATGGTTTAATTATTTTGGGCAAACTTGGCTCATATAACATGATTTAAATTAATCTTTGTCTTGGTCATGTACTATATGACAGTTGACTGTTGTCTGTAATTGGATAGAAGCAGTATACACATGTACACACACACACACATGCATGCCCGCAGGCATTCATGTACCCATATCGGTTTGATAGCTCAGACTTTCTGCTCTTCACATTAGCATACACACACATGTACGCACTCCCACACACACTTTCCTGCATGTTCAGACTTGCTGCAGCTGGTTGCTCAGCTAATATCACTAAGTTGGTGACGGGTTTTATTTACAGCTTTTTAGGCGTAAGGCTTTAGCAATATACCTAAGTTATATAACTTTACTATTATGGTTTGAGAGTTTCAACTGTGTTATTACAATGCAGGAGACTTCTGTCCCTTCACAAGTTTACCACAAGGGACTGCTGTAAACGAGCTTAATTAATTAACAGTATTGAGCACACAATAGTTAGTTAAGTAAAGCAGTTTTCAATTTCTCAAACCATACTGGTTCAGTTGTATCACTGAGATATAAAACTCGGATGTTTGCTTTTTAGAAATATCTTGGTGATTCTTTACAGCTCTGCTTCTTATTTTTGCAGTGTACTTATTTTTCTGTAAAATGACAATTTCTTTAAATAGTGACAATGTTTTTATGTATTTTCAATTTTATGTCTTGTATTCATGTGTTTCTCCTAAATATGTTAATTGAATAAAAATAATTTCTCCAGAGAAGCTGCTGTAAATAGAATTAAATTAACCAGTTAGGATTCTCAGTGTTAGCATTATTTAACCATTTAATGTGTTAACAATATCTTTTTCATATAAATTATGGGACATTTTGCCTTAATTTTTAAATGTGAGACATCATATGCAAATATTTATCACATTTAGTAGTACTTTTTAAAAAGTCCATCACAACATTGTTTTCAGGGTCTACAACTGGAGTACAGACTACATATGACAAATTCCAAAAATAATACCTTCTTTAGAGAATTTTCAGCGGATGAGTTCTGTAAGTACAATGATTTTGTTATACAACTTGTATAGCTGTAAAATAATATATCATTGCTCAAACAAGTCACATAAATAATGTCTACCAATAGTTTATGCAGGTTGAAATTTGTTATGATTCAAAAGTTCCAAACAAGTTAATTTTTTGTGACTAGAAAAATGAATTCAATACAATTTTTTTAATTAGTAGAACACCGTTTTTCATGATTTTGAAAGTTCTTCGCTTTATTTCAGGTTTTTTAAAAATCTCAGCAGGATGTTATTGATCCGTTGTTCTCCATTTTGATTACATTTTCTGCTCTCTCTGTTTTCTTTTTGTTATAAATGCAAGTTAAAAGAAAAAAATGGATGGGAAAAGCTTTATTCACAGATGTGGTAGCAGACAAAGCTGGAGTACTGCTTACACTCGCCAGCTAAGCCAAATGCTTAAACTGACTGAAATGAGCTAACAAAATAGGGTTGATTTGACTTTTTAAGTCAAATTTAAACCATTTTTGGAAAAAGTTATGAAAAAGTATAGTGATTTGGCTCGGGGGGAAAATACTCCAGCAAAGAAATGCTTACCTTTCTTCATTTTTAACTTAATTTTTCAGATATTTTGCAGACAGATATCAGTTTCTTTGTCGTATATTTCTTCATCCTCCTGGTGTCCTGCCGAGTAGCGTGTAAGTGCACACCAGGTGGCAGCACTGGACACTCACCACAGCCTTGTTTCCTCGCCTGATTTTTGTCTGTCTCTTTCAGTAGGGAAACACTCTTGTTTGGAGAATAAGGGGATTAAATTTGGCAAGTCAGTCAAACCCCCTCACCCGATCAAAAAGGGGAAAAAAAAACATTTATGGAACTGCTAACAAGTATACAATTTGGAGCAATTAGTTGGACATTTCTAAAAACAGTTTGTTACTGAGAAAATGGAGTTATAAATACAGTTTAAAAATGTGCCTAGCAGTCCAACTTTGTAACTTTTGAGTACCCAATCTTCCCAATCTCTCCTCCCTCCCCCCTTGGGGAAAAGGATGTTCATGTCTGTCAGATAACAAGGCATGTGACATATTTTCACAAGCGAAATGACATTAATCTTGCCACCCTAGTTCTCCAAAATTTGCTGTGGACCCTGATATCAATATATATTTATATAGTACATTTCATATGACACTTAAAGAGGAAGAGGAAGCATTTGAGAACTATATTTTTCTTCTGGAATTTCAAACACTGTTGTTATTTTCCCTTAATTAATTTGTTAAATCTGATGATACAACAACAGAACATTTTGTACATGTATGCTTCATCTTTCCTGGAAATTTTCTCATTTCCTCTTCCTCAGTTTGTCTGTATTTTACACCTTGTTCTAGCTCGTCATCATCACAGATTGGTGATTTTTGCCGGCATGTTTGGTTATTTTCAGACATACTGCAGGTGGACATCAGTTTTAGCGTCATTTACATCATTTTGCTACTGTTATCAGTATATTGTGCATGTATGTATACAATTTGTATAAAATAAAAAAAAAAACTTTGTATAGATGTGGATGTAACTCAACATTGCCGCCCCTGGCCGTTTTCAGATCGGGATATTTTAGAAAAAAAAAAAAAAACCTTGTCTGTAACTCAACATTGCCGCCCCTGGCCGTTTTCAGATCGGGATATTTTAGAAAAAAAAAAAAAAAAAAACTTGTCTGTTGAATTGTGGTACCTCTGTGGTCTAAATGAACAGTTAACCTTTAAAAAATTGTAATTGTGGTCTAAATTGGAAATGGTATGAAGACAGCCACGGAAGTGGTTGTGTTGGGGTGTAACAGTCAGTCACATCTAACACAACCATTTTACTCTTGTTCTTTATTCAGAGCACAGTTGTCTTTTGACTTTATAGTTATCATATTGGTGTATATCAGGATAGTTGAAAACAGGCAAATTCAAGTGTTTTTATCTAAATTTTTCCTTGGTATATTTTTTAAAACTACTACTGATAGTTGTTGACTTTTTCTGTTTTTTCAAAAAAAAAAAAAAAAAAAAAAGAAAATGAAAATTAATTGCAACAAAGTCACCTACCTGATATCTACCAAGATGATCCTAATCTGTTATGTATTCACTAACCACTTCAGACATTTTATAACTAATTACTCATCTTGTTTCTGGGTTATCTGGATTTTTTTAATGCAGTGTCTTTTCATCTTGTTTTTCTTTTCTTGCACAATGTGTAGATATTCTGCAAGTGGACATCAGTTTTTTCCTGTGTTATCTGGTCTTGCTATGGATATCTGCCTATGCTGCTAGTATGTACTGACCTCACATGTGTCCTAATATGTCTTACCTTTTTAATGTGTATGGAAAAGACCTCAGTCTCTTAATAGAAAAAGAATTTACTGGTAACAATTTAAATCCCTTTGAGGTTAATTATGGATAATTCTGGCACACTTGACTCATCTTTTTTGTTTCTGGACTAAGTGTTTATATGTATGTAGGAAACTACTCAGACTAATACTTTTGCACTGTAATCATATGTGTTAGGATAAAAATTAGATCATGTTAAATGCAATATTAGACACCATAATGTAAAATGAAAAAAAGAATATATGTTAAAGAAGACATTTCTGAGAAATAAAGTTATTTAAAATATTTAACAAATACTACTGCAAACATATATTCCTTATAACTTTTGATAATATGTGTGACATCCATTGTTTACTCAAGAGCTCATATCAGTTTAAAAATATCTCAATAGACAGGTCTGTAGCCAGCAGATTCAAAAGGGGGACCCTTTAACCATAAAAGCTTTGTGCACCTAGATAAAATTTTACCCATTGTGGACTTTTTCTGATAAAAAAAGGATGTTCCTTTAACCCCCACCCCTCCTGGCTACGGGCCTGCAATAGATATCAAGGAAATCATTGGGATGCATGTTTAAATTGACCAGTGAAATTCCTGATCATCATTTGTTCCTTGTTTCCTCTCATTCAGACATGTTGCGTAGTCGCCAGCTGTTCCATACTACATATAAGATGTACATGGTTTCCCTGGGGTGTGAGGTGATCTTCCTGCTTATCAAAGTGTCGTACTATGCTACCTTGGCCAACACTGGCTACAAATATCCAGGAGTCAAAATATTTGGTGAGATTTCAGTAATGATGTGTGTGTGTGCGTGTGAGCGCATGCTTCTATTGAAAATTATTAGATTTTACATTATTATTATTATTATTATTATTATTATTATTATTAGTGTTACTAATTATTTAGTATCTTTAAATTCGTAATCATCTTGGTGTTCTTGTAAATAATGCTTTTTTGACTCACTTTAATTTTACTTATTCCAGCACGAATCTTTGAATCGATTGCCACTTTGACATTTTTGCTGATGTTGATCTTGTTGGCCAAGGGGTATACTGTCACTAGGGGGCGTCTAAGACAAGCCACCGCTGTGAAGATAACTGTTATGATGACATTTTATATACTACTCTATATTGTTATGTTCATCTGGGAAGCTGTGGTAAGTTTGGAAAAATTAAATGTATTTTTAGTTATAGTGTGGCACTGGATGAATTTAATTTAAGTTAATTGAAATAACTGAATTCAATTAAAATAGTGTTATTTGTGGATGAACTTTTTGTTTATTTTCAATTCTCAAACTAATTTTGTTTTGTTTTATTTTAATGTGACAAATTAATCATAGAACAGTTAATTACTTTATTAATTTCTCTTTTTTTAATCTTATTTTATGGCATTTTGTTATATTCCATTTTAAGTTCTTTAAATTCACTAAAATTGTCTCCATTTATTTAACAAAGATAAAATAATAATTTGAAAATAACCAATTGTTAAACATATGTCTATGAGCAATATTGTGTAATGTTCCAGTTTTTTGATCCGGGTCTGGTGTTGTACCTGTACCAGAGCCCCCCTGGGTACGGACTCATTGGCATGAGGTTGCTGGGATGGCTATGGTTCTGCTACGCCACTTTTTTCACACTCAAGAATTACCCAGAGAAAAATTTGTTTTATTATCCACTTTTTGTCTTTTTTACACTGTGGTAAGCACTGGTCTATTAAGTCATTCATTTGATATAAAGTAGTTTACTTATTTTAAGTGTAACGACTCAGGCATGTTCTAAGTAAATGTTTCAATTCAAGGTATTCTATCTCTGAGGCTGTAAATGCTTTTTGATATAATGAAACTTGCTTTTTATGTTAAGTTTTGGGGGAAGGGGGATTCTGAGCCTATTTTCCAGTAGTTTAATGTTTCTCACTTTCCTATGGTGAGTTGATTCCAGGCATTTAAAGATGTGGTATTTTTGCTGTTTCAGGTTTTGGGCTGGTCCAATTGTGATACTGGTAGCAATGAATGTTATCAACCTGTGGGTGCGAGAAAAAGTGGTGAATGGAGTTGAGCTATGTGTGTCATTCGTGGGACATTTTATATTTTTGGTAAGTACTTGTTTCACTGGAATAAAGAATCAGCATACCACAAAAACAGTATCACATTTGGCTTGTAAAATGTGCATATACTGTAACTTTTAGGTACAAGTAATTTGGCTAAGACTGTGAGTTAAGAGAAAGCCCAGATTGAACATTCTAGATAAGTTTAGGTGTTCAGTTTTATGTATGAAAGTTATTAACCATTTGAACATTAAAAGTTTTTTTTATCACTTACAATGACAGTGAATAAGTAACATTTTGATTTTTATTTGCTTTTTTATTAATAAAGTAGCAGAAAAAAATCAGTATTTACAAGAAAAATACCCATACAAAAAATAAATAGCACACTTTCTTTCTCTAGATTTTAACACGTCCATCAGCTGCCAACAAGAATTTCCCATTCCATGTCAGGACTACACAGGTACCGTAGGCTAATCGAATAGTTAATGTTGTAATGGGGTTTGTAGAAAGAAAAAAAGTTGATCTACAATAATGACTTATTCTTTTCAATGCACAGAAATTATCAAACTTTCAGATACATCATTTTAAAACCATAAAATTTTTATTTGTGTATAGCATTTGTGGTGATTTTAATGCATAGAATAAATCTATAAGGTAGTCTTCTTTTCAATTTTATTGGATTGCTCTCATTTTAAGAAATTAAGACTTCAAAAATACCATATTTGTAACATTCACAATTTTTCCCCATTGAAAAAATCAAGTCATTACCGAACATCATCATTTACCCTTTGCCTGCACCCTGTTATATAGGTGACAGCTTGTAGTTTTCATTACAGTAATTGTGGACATCATACACAAAACTTGGAAAAGCCTAAAAAATTGGCTGGTATTTTTAGCTGTGCCTGCATTTTCAAAAACTTCCAATTTTTACGAATTGCTTTTTTTTTTTTTTTTTTGGTGGTCAAATATTAAGGAGGCCAGATCTCTTTCAATTGTAGAGTAATCCAATTTCTGTTTTGTAAACGAATGGCTGAATAGTAAGTGTAAAGTTATATGGCATCTGGTTTCTGTTTGTAGGTTGGTGTTATGGACACCCCGGAGCAGAACGGAGTCCCAGCCTCTGCCAGCACAGACCTGGACAGCTTTGGCGCACATGCGTATGCGCCCTCTACTGAGACAAAAGAAGCCAATGGGAGTGCCCCAACTACAAATTTTATGAATCTTTTTGTCACTTCTAAGGAAAGGAGTGTGAGTATTTTGTCCTACTTTCTTTCTTCTTTTCCTTTCTTTTTCTTTCTTTCTTGCTTTTGAAAGTTGCATGAATTAGACTGGTAGTTTTTAGAATTCTCCATTCATTTCTTAGTGCATGTATTTCTCTTTTAATTAAACACCGTCCAGTTGCCTTGTTTTAGTTTCAAGGAAATAGAAAATATGCCAATACACATCTATCCTTTCTTTCTCCATGTATTCAGTTTTTGTGTCTTGTACTTGCAGGACTCTCAAGAATTCATGGTGAAAGAAAGCAATCAGTAAAATATGTGTTCCTTTAGGTAATATCAATTACTCCCCAAATTTGTAATCAGCCACGCAGTTAACTTTTGTTGCATGTTCAGCTTTGCTTAATGCATTTTCTACAGAGAGCTCTTGTAAAAAAGTTTTTTTAGAAATAATTATATATTTTTGATTTTTTTTCAGAAGGAACCAGTAAACATAGACAGTTTTCCACACAGCTATTCAAATGGAAACACTGCCTACTCTTCATGAAAAAAGAATATTACTACTGTCCACTTATACAGGAAAAAACCTTGGATGGAACATGGTATTTTTATGAAAAAATAATGGAACGTAAGAAGTTCCAAATGAGAGACATATATCAAGGTTGGGATTCCCTAGGAGGTCAAGGTTAATAACCAAAGGTCAAGGTCATTCACAGGCCAACCAGGATGTTTGGTTGTTAAAAGTTAAAGAGATGATGAAGAGTTTCTATTTATATTATGGTGGGAGATGGATCAATTCAGCCATTCAAGAAAAATGTGCATTAGATACCGAATTTCTTAGCAACACCAAGGGAAGAGAAGTAGTGATTATCCAGCTCTGTGCTCAAATGCATGTTGTCCGTCCTTATTTTTAATGAAAGTTTCAAAGCAAATAAGGATATATAGATTTATAAGTATACATGATAATTATTCCAGGGGCCCCTCTGAGCCTGAGACAAAAAAGGCAGAACATGTTCACTGATACTTTTAAATGAGGATGTATTGGTTGGAGGAAAATGAAGCATACTATACTTACAAGTATATACAATGTATATATATATATATGAATAATATATATGTGGAGCTATATTACAGTGTAGAGATCGGCTTATGTAGGGTTATCTTACTTCAGGGTCTTAAAGATAGAGCCTTGTATATTGAAACTCATCAGCAATGATGACATGTACTAATATTGTAGGCCTTTTTGTATTTCTATGGAATGATGATGTTAAATTATTGAAATTATTGGATGAATCTGAAGTAACTGTGTGAGAGAGTGTGTATACAGTTTTGTAAATAATAGCATATGTTGTATATGTGAAATACATAAAGGGTAAGTATACTAAGTTTAAACAGAACGTTTTGAAGGGTGAAGCAAAGTAAAAATATGTAAGTTTTATCAAGTTCAGTTTGTTGAGGCGATTTGAAGTTATCAATGAGATTAGTTGGTACATTAATTGTAGTACACCCTCTCACATGTAAAGATGTTATGAATTATATTTATCTGGAAAAATTCTTATTGGTTATCCAAGATTTTTGAGCAATCATACTCAGCACAGCTTCATGGTGTGTTTGTGCTTGAGGCAATTATAACTGTGTTTCCCTGTCCTCGTGGCGGGTGTGTAGTTACTGTAGTCATGGTAGCGACTTGGAGCAGGGCAGATGGAACAGTTATTGACTAATAGCAATACAGGTACACACGTGTAGTTGGCCTCGTTAAGAGTCCAGGGATTACATGGCAAATCTTGCAAGTTTTCATATAATGAAAGGTAAATAGCCAAAGTTAGCCAATTACTGTGCATAGCGAAAGTGCATACCACGTCTATTGATTAGCCGTCATTTTTATATGGAGTTTTCTTGCAGTTTTTTAACATAGTAGCAAGTTGTAAGCTTTTTTAACAGGTGTCAATTCTTCAGTCAGATTTGTCTTGTATGACAGTTACTATAGTAGTTTCCTCAATCAACAGTTCAAAGCTTTATTGCTACTCCATTATTCCATTGTCTACCAAGAAGAAACTATTATTGCAACTTTGAATGCATCACAGGGCTGATTAAATACTTAACAGTCTCGTTTGAAATCATTGTATTGTAAACGAAGAAGTTGTTGCATTGCAAGCCGTTTTCTTCTTAATTAACTTTTTGCAGTGCTTTAAGAGTGCGCCTTGTTTTTCAGTGCATTACTGTAATCCAATAACTCTATTGTTAAAGATGTGGCCAAGTTATGGCGTGAAAAGTTGACCATTTTTTCTGTTCTTCATTGAGACGCTACTCATTCCTCTATTTATTCATTAGTAGATTATTTTTGTATTTTTTGCCGACGGTAAATTCTCATTCCTATTTATACGAAAATATATTTACATAATGCGAGTGATTTTAAAATTCAATATTTCTAAACATTTAGATATTAACAGTATTATGAATGAGAAAAATTACAAATCGTTTTATTCCGTCCTGATATTTAAACAGTCAGATTTTCCCCCAGTCATTTATATCCGTCCCAAATTCTGTACTAGTTTTTAACATCTTTAACTACTTTTTGTTAAGTTTTACACTTATGTTAAATCCATTTAAATGTTTGGTATTCTTTTGCGGATGGGGAAACCATTATCTTAGTTAGTGATGCGATGTTTCTGCGGCATTGCAAACCTGGAACAAAAGGTTATATTATTATTTACACGATTTATTACTAGTAGACGAGACAAGAGGGTAATTTTATTCTGTACGGGCTGTAGAGGGCGACATGCGAGATTTATTGTTCAACAGCCAGTTTATAGCTTGTGGTTTATATTTGGCGACAATTGGAAATTGTCCAATAGACTTGAGAAGTGCACGTGATGAGAAATAGATTGCCTGAGTCAAGGTAATTAAGTTGACATTTTGACCAGCTATTGGTCTCGGATTTTATCACCAAAGAGCGGCTGTTATTTTCCTCGTAGTTGAACAAGGGGTTTTCTTTCTTGGCAAGGAAAATGTATGAAATGCAGTTAAGTGCGTAAACTTTAACAACAAAGTTCCTTTTCACTGTGATTTCCCGCTTTCCAATGGGTGTACTTTTCTTTCTTTTAAACGCGTTAGTGCTGGACGCGGGGATGGTTACGAAATCATTAGGAAATAACATTTAAATGAGAAGTGGTTGGTGTACACCCTGAAGGTCAGAGATAACTTGAAACGAACCGCATTCGAATTGCTGAAGCAAGGGTATGCTTAGGTGTAGAGGTTTGTTTCGAGTTCTCTCTAAAGCTCAGGGCGTGCACGTACAGAACCTCGTTCTGAAATCAGTCTGATTAGAGAGTAACGTGTGCCATCTTTCTGTTATCCACTTTATGGAACTTTTAGTTTTGTGAGTTATATCAAAGTGTAGTTTATTTGGGACATTGTATCATCATGATAATTATTTCTATAATTGGTTTTTGTTCTATTCTTCGCATTTACAGGATGTACCTGTATGGAATACTGCTAACGTAACTTGAATCAAAACATGTTGTGGTGATGAAAAATAAAGATGTGGAATACACATAGACTTGGCTTTTCCATATTTTTTTATATTTTCAAATTTTAAAATCTGTTTTATTTATTTTATTTAGTTTAAACTTGATATATGGAAGGTAAAAATATGGTAAATTTAAAATTTATCTTCCCCTTGGCCCTCAAATCCATTATTGTGTGCATTTATTCTTTTGTTTAAACTTCTATCTATCTATCCATCTATCTATCTATATAATATTCAAGTCTGTGAGCGACTCCCACAAACTTACATGTATAACGACTTTCTCCCTGGCTGAATAATAAATTTGTTCCCAAGTAAGAACTATATTCAATCACATTCACATATAGGGAGTTTTCGCATTTTATAATGACACTTTGCTGCTTTGGTAGATATGGGTTTGACAAGGCCTTTACGGTATACTTTTTATTTAATTACTGAAATTAAAAAAAAAAAAAAACGAATGCTGTTGCTAAATTGGCCACCAAGAAATAAATGCAAATATTGTAAAGAAAAACGAGAAAGCAAACTCTGGTGCAACAAACGCTAAGACCAGTCGCTTTTTCCCTAATAGACATTTGAAATTTTAAAACACCGAAATAGAAAACTTACAGCTGACCGGTATATAACCCATGCTCAAACAATACACAACACACGCTTAAACAATATACTACCCATACTTAAACAATACACGACCTGTGCTAAAACAATACACAAAAGCCACCGCAACTCTGACGGAGGTTTTACATGTCTACTCTCACGCAACGCTGACCGTAACCCCCCTCCCCCTCGTCCCCCCTGAATTTTAAAACAAGNGTTCCCTGCTCGCTTGGCTCCACGGAAGGGAGATGGTCAAGCTGCCCACGCTCAAAATAAAGGGTACATGAAGCTCAACATGCACCCATCACTGCGATTGTAGAACTCAAGATTGCGTCTGTGTCCTCCACCCCAGGAGCTCCCTCGTGGTTTCTCCTCCCTTAACCACTTATCGAGAAAACTTTTTAAAGTTTTTGAAAAAAAACTTGTACCGACAGTGGGGTTATTGTTCTTATGGCTTGGTAGTGATGAGAGACAATGTTAATCTTTGTCTGCAGTGGCAGCGAAGGTGCGCATATAACATACGATCACCGCTTCTTTCGGGACGTGTCATTTGTGAAAATGTCACCAAACCGATAGATGGACAGAGAGACACTATTAAGGAACAGGGTAGTACAATTCATCTCTTTCACCTAATCGCTGGGTCCGACACTGAGGCTCTGTATGCGCAGAATTTGAAAAGAAACGCTGTTGTATTTGTGAACGGAGGGGAAGCTGGTAACAGGGGAGGCAGGGGGGTACAGGTACAAGTTTGTGAATGTATTATATTAAACGTTGTAAGACCTTAACGGCGGAATAATGCATAAAATTCATCATGAGAACTTCAAGGGTGATATATATATATTTTTTTACTAATGACTGATGTTTCCACGTTTTCAAACCTAGCGGCGATCAAGCAGTGGTGGTAAATATTGTTTATCTTGAGGTGATCAATATATCAACACATGAAGTCAGAGGGAATCAACAGCCTAAATTGCAATACGTGTACAAATATAAGTACAGGTAGCTTGCAACACAGCGCATTTTTTGCACCTGTCCTGGGTAGTTTTAGTTTATTCATTCCCAGTTGAACGTTTTTCTATTGTATTGTTTGTAATTTTTCTTACATTTTATATACATATATTTTATACATATTTTACATATTATCACAGTCACAAAGTCCATATAAATAAATACGTTAAATTAAAATAACGCCGTGCACAATACCGGGGATTGTAGTCTGACGATAACCGTGCTAATGATACGGCAGTGCGACGTGGCTATGTCCAGACTAGACATTTTAATTCAATCTCTAACCTTGACTGTCTTGACAAGACACGTTTTCCTCCCGATCTGTCTTAAGAGCAATTTATAGTGTGTAAGGGTCGTTAGGTGCGAGATTGGCAGAGTATTAACATGTCACCTCAGCTCAGGCGACGGTCAGGAAACTTCGAGGAGATATGCACCCTTCACACGTCAAATCGCAATATGGCACCTCTTTAGGGGAGGACGTAACCTGAGCGACACAAATGACTCGAGTCAGCGTCTTCACTTTGACATATTCATATTTGTATATCATATCCATATATTGTCTGTAATAGTGTCACGCACAACACCCCATTTGTCGTGTCTCATCCTATTCGTTCAGATTCTCTGGTTAAAGGTGAGAATCCCTCCATTCTGAACGACGTCACCTCACCAGATCGTGTTGTTACCTCATACGTCAAATATGGTTATCGTATCAACCAGTTTTAAGATAACTCGTTATCTCCCCCCCCCCCCGCACCTGTACATGTTTTTTCACAGAAAAAGAGGTCGTCTTATTCTAGAATTGCAAATAATCCTTTTCTCAAACAAACGGTTAGTTTGTACGGCTTTTCGTACATTGGATGATATCCCAAGGCATGCGAAGATTATAAATAAATAAATAAATAAATGAATAAAATAAATAAATAAATAAATAAATAAATAAATAAATAAAATAATTAAGCAAATAAATAGAAAGATAAATAAATATAATTACTTATAATAAAGTTACAACAAACAGAAAATGGATTTTTACATTTTGAGTGCGGTGGATTCTGGCCTCGTTGAAGTTTCTCTCGTCAGGGTGCGTTTCCAAGTAAAATCCCAGTCGCAGATCTGCACCATGCAGAGACCAAAACATGGTATTTGCAATTTAGAATCAGATTGTATTTTTGTCTGTTGTTTGTATATTAATGTTAACAGTATTATTGTTGTGTTGTTTTTGGCGTTTTTGACTGTCCATGCATGCCTGTTTCGGGGGGGGGGGGGGGGTCGAACGAAGTGTCCTTTTTGCTGGGAAAAGGTCCGCTCTGGGTAAAATTTGATCTAGGTACTCGAGGGTTTTTTGGGAAAAGAACCCATCCTTTGAAAGCTACGTAACTGACCGGCTATCTAACTTTGTTTATAAACTAGTGAAAAATGCCATATGCCTGTTGCTCGTAAACATGCAGATACTGCATGATATTAGTGCGTAACAATTACAAACAAGGTACGCGTTTACCTGTAAATCATGTGCGCCCTCGTTGGGTCTACTTTCTCGTCCTCGCAACAAATAGACGTCAGTGACATTTAATAAAATAGGTATTTTTAGAAGAGAAATATAATCACCTCTTCTTAGTCCACAAGGTTTCTAAACTGCTCACGATAGTACCCTTAACTCCCCTTTACATGGACACATGACCCTAAGCGACAGGGGTCAGTAATGTGGAAGATCGACGGTCCGGTAGATTTCGAGTATTATTTTTACTCTTCGCGGAAAAAACGAACAGTCAGGTAATAATTGTGAGATCAGATAGCCGGCTATTAGTATGATGTCCAGTTTGTCTTCACTCTTGTTATTTTTCTCAGAGAACAAGGCTGGTCATTCAGGAGCACTAATCGATGTGGTCACGGATGTCACAAATCGGGGGATGGGAGGTTATAAGAGTGCGGATTAAGGGAGGGGGGGGGGGCGGAAAGCCGTCCTTAATATACAAAGACAGAATGGAACGCGCGGATAAAAAGAAACAAAATGCATTACACAGCGATATGTGAAATAGAGGTTTTCAAGGAGGGTGAGAGTTACCAAGTTCTGAAAATTCATTTGGATTTGACCCCCTTTTTAACCTGGACTTTTTGTCCATGATTCCAAAGTCGACACAATAGAAACATTGTCACCTTAGCGTATGGGAGGAAAAGTGAAAGGAATAGACCACTCTTTCTCCTTCTTATAACCGATAAGAAATCAAAATGACAGGAATAATTGCAAATATTACTTAACTAACTAGCTATTTTTTATTCATTTACAAAGAATTACCAGCAATATAATGTTCCAGATTTCATCGCAAATATCATCATATGCTGCACTATACTGGAGTACAAAGCTGCTCTGTGGAGCCAAAAGAATAATTTTTGAATTACAAGTGACAAGGCCCACCAATTTCTTCTCGAATGAAACAGCGAAAAGATATATGAAGCAGTAAAAAAGATTAACATCTCCTATAACTTCATTAGCATTCATAACAGCACTGCAATGCACGAGAGGCATAAAGATGTAGTCCCCTTAGTTCTTCTTTAAACTGAACTGAGAAGACTATTGTCTAATGGAAAACGCTATTTTACTCATGGATAAGAATAAATATATCTAAGGCAAATAAGCGCTATTATAAAGATTTGAAAATATAGTTCATTAAATTTATTATCTTGACAGTACCTAATAAACATGTATACATATATAATATGAATAAAGGCCCAGCCCTATGTAGGCCTACTTACAAAGTCACCAATTATACCTTTAGCTATGTTATACAACAGTTTAATTCTGACCTGGAAGCAGTTAAAGAGAAATCTCGCTGTACTTCTGCAAGAGTGTGTAGAGCAGAAAAGACACATTTCACCATTTCAGTCCACATTTTCTTGAGATTTTCAATAAAACGCAAAGTTATAACAATGACATCATTTCATTAAATAATGGAAGGGCTGGTTTGCCGAATAGTTTTCCATTTTTTTTTTTATTTAGAGAGAGACTGCGCAGAGGAGCGTTACGAAGCTTACTAACCCAACTGAACAGTTGTATTAACAGTATGTACAATGATTTCATGTAAGGGTTCGTAAGCCAAGACCAGGAGAGGACGATACAGACAACAGACGGTTATTGGATATTTTAAGTTTGGAAATTGTTGGCCACTGTTGGTCATTGGACATTCACAATAAAACTATTGAGAAAAAATCCCATAGCTTGCAATTCAATACATTTTTTTAGTGGGAAATGTAAAGTAGGCATCAGCCACCAAATATAAATGATCAAATCGAATAAGCAGCCAATTTCATTTAATTGAATATTGCACTCACACCCAGGGGATTATAACCACGTATATAAGTCTTTATCTACAGAAAACCTCTTCACTTTTCAGCGCAGTGAATAAAAACTTAATTAATTATCTAGTAATTAATTAATTAATTAATTTATTTATTATCCCCCCCTTTTTTTGGTCAATTCCACTCAATTGTCCTTGTTCACACCTCTCTGTGCGTAGGTAGGCCCTGCATATCTGTCAACATCTCTATTGTACCACCACCGGCCTCCTCTGATGACATATCAACAGAACAATCTGCTCCAGAAAAAGGCTTAAAATAAGAATAAACCGTGACAAAAACCATCACTTAATCGTAATGACCGTACGAGGTCTCTGTGAAAATAACCATCGTGCGGCCGAAATGACCAGAAATGACCTGTGACAAACCATCAACCTTCGGCTATTACCTTAATGTCTTTCCTACAAACACTAGGTTTAAGCAGAAAAGAATGCCCCTTGTCCAGGTAATCGGACCTGAGGCATACCAGCGAGAGTTTTATTGGCAATTACAGCAATTACAATGTGGTAACGACAATGGTGCCCACTGTGGTACACGCAGGGCATGAGTGCTGGTAACTTTTTCCGAGGAGTATATAAACCCTCAAGTTTGACAGGATCCTCATCTTGTTGGCTGACCAGTGTCGCATAGGATCACATACATTACCAGGTGAGTGACCAACGTGTGCTCCTGGGGGAGATCTTTGTTAAGTCGGGGGTATGATATCTGCATGGTCAGTTCTACCGATGACAACATCAGCAATACCAAAAATCCTCCAGCATCCTTCATGGCAAAACCTTGAAAGCATGCATGAAGTTGTATGTGCCAAGGCTAGTAGTGAATGTTTAACCAGTGGCAGAATGCCATGAGCATATATCTACCGAGACTTCAAACTAGTAAACTGACTACATGGGTTTAAAGTTGGTTGCTTCCTTCACATATTGCTAATGAAAGAAGAGCAGAGAGCTAAAATTATTGATATTGATTGCTCTCGACTGCCCTTTCCAATTCATATATATTATCTTTTCGATGAAAGAAATCAGTGGCGTAAAGCAAAGAAATTTGCGTTCAAGATATTGTCCAAAAAATAAATTTGTACATTTTTCTCTCTCTCAGTGTCATCATGCTTCGTCTTGTTCTCCTCGCCTTGGTGGGCAGTGCCCTCGCTGTTTACGATGAGCATCATCTTGGTAAGTAATTGTTGTTTGCCAGTTTATATAAGTATTTTCATATAATTAAGGTTATTTTTTATATTATTCTCGTAAACTTTAACATTGTATGCAATCATAAAGTAGATAGTATCTAACCTAAACAAGTCCTTAAAATGCGGTTTATGAAAATATTAACAAGTCCACGAATTAAGTCTAAGATTATTGTGTCATTTTACAGCTCCAAAATTCAACGACTTCTGCAAGAAGTGCATCGAAGAGAGAAATGGCGTAGGCTACTACGAGAACCCAGAAGACTGCAAAACTTATCTCCAGTGCGATTTGGATGATGACCTTAACATCAAGGTTCACGTGAAGGAATGTGCTGAAGGCACCCTCTTCGACGGTACCATTGTTACCTGCGTTCCATGTGAGGTCGCCACCTGCCCAGGCAGCAAGGTCCCATACCCACAGTGCCCACCAAGAAGTGAGTTGATGGTTCTCATTTTCCAAATCCAAACATCATACAACTTTTCTAGGTTTTAGGATAACCTATATAAAATATAAAAATTGCCAACTTATGAAAGTATGATTTCATGTCAAATAAGCACAAATAACTTTATAAAAATAATTTAGACATCTGTTTATTATAAATGTTTTGTTTATCATCTTCATTTTAGCATTCATATAAACCTAAAGAGAATTTTTTTCCTCAGCCGCCCCACCAACCACCACCCTCGCTTACACCACACTTCCCCAGTTTGATGGCAAATGTGACGGCCCTGACGGATGGACCTACTTGGCCGTGTGGGGTGATGCCAACACCTTCTACAGATCCCAGACCCTTGGTGATGAGACCAGAATCGAGCGTGTCAGCTGCGGACAGTGGGAGTTCAACGTCAAGAGATGCATGTGCATGGTTCCAGGTATGAGCTGATCTGATTGATACTCGATAAAGATAACATTTATGTTAACGGTGGTGTTTAGTACTTTCACTTGTTTTTGTTTTTTTTCTTACAAATTTAGTAACTTCATACCGCCGAAGTCATCGATGAAAGGTCACTGACATTTTTTTATTCAGTGAACGGACATGTATACATTCTATTAAATCATTTCTTACAGATCTCCAGGCTATCGCCCTGTGGCCTTTCGATGAGAACACCGACACCACCGTCGATAACTTCTGGACAGACTGCGCTGGTGTAGAGCTTTTGGACGGTAAAGTCGGATACGCTGCTCACTTCAACGGCACCGTCCACTGCGAGGTCCCACGTTTCAACAACTACCCATGGGGATCTGCCCTTACCATCTCTTTCTGGTACAAGAACGCTGCTCACGCCAAGAACGACCGTGAGGGTCTCCTCAGCAACGGCAACTGCGCTATCGAGCCAACCATCTCCTTCTGGTCTGACCGCGGCTATCTTGGAGGCCGTGTCCTGGTCAACAACAACGGCACCCTCCTCACCGTCGACCTCGGCAAGAACGTAAGAGTTGTTAAGATCGGCAAAAATATTTCTGGAATTATATTGCATTCTACAGAAACGTTCAGATTTTTATAGTAGGAAATGTTTGTAATGAAAAGCTCTAGATTAAGAGACCTTATTTTCATCAAAGAAATAACAATCTAGTAATACTATTGTTCTTCATATCACAGGGTGGCAGCGGCTGGAACCACGTCGCCATGGTCTACGATGGTCTCAGACTGGTGCTTTACGTCAACGGAAAAGTTATGGTTGATGAAATCGCTGTCGGTAAGCAATTTGACGAGAACTAGATGTTTAATCTCTTTTTAAGAATTTTTATCATCAATTCCATTAAGTTTGACCTTCTGTTGCCTACTTCATAACCAGAGATGAACGCTAATATGTTTCTTATATATTACCTACAAGTGGGCACAAACAGGCCAACAAAAGGTGCAGTTTGATAAATATTTCTATTTAACACATCACTGATTCTTCATGTATTTATTAACTAGGCGCTATCCCAGCTACCCTTGCTCCACTGTACATGGGCAGAGACTTGAACTGCGAGGCCGTCGATGCTCGTTTCAGCAACACCAACCTTGTTGGATTCCTCGATGAGGTAATTGTTAATTACTTGCGTTGTTGCTAAACAACACTAATATGCACATACTTGCAATATCAAAAAGTTTACCTTTTTATTTTGTTTTACCTAGAACTTGAAACAAAAAAAAAAAAAAAAAAAAAAAAAAAAAAATGCTAGTTATTTATACATATAACATAACATATGAATAAACAATAGTGTGTCTGTATCTTTAGTCTTGCCATTCACGATTTTGATCACTTTCTCGGCTAACAGATAACAGAAAAGTCGAAGAGGTACTGACAAACATCCCCGTGTCTGTTTTGTTCAACTGTAGCTCAGGTTTTCACTAGTAACCTGTTTAATTAAACCAATTTCAAATTCAATATTTTTCTATTTTCAGGTCCAGATCTACGACTGGGCTCTTACCGACGCCATGATCTGGAAGCTCAATGCTGGAGAGAGAAACATCAAGATGGCCAGAACCGACTAGATTTTGAGAATATGAAAACAAATTGATTTCATCTTAAGTTACCTGTCAATTATAATTTGTGGAAAATCTGCAATGACCTGTCATTAACGGACCCAGCTGTCATACATAAACGTTCAGTTCATCTCTTTTTCATTTAGGTTTTTTTCGCTTCATTATTGTAACACCTAATACAAATTTGAAGAAATTTATTTTCCACATCTGTCAAAGGGAAAGACTTATCCTTTATGAGGATAAGGAACTCCACCTGCTTCTACATCCATTGAGATCATACGCACTTTGTCATATCTTTAATGGTGTTGACTTTAATTTTCATCGAATTACTGAAGTATATACATACAGTATGTCTGAATAAATTATTTGCTATATAAGTGAACCTTTTGTCATTTTTAGCCTATTCACGGAGTAGATAATATGCTTACTATGCTAATACAAAGTTTGAATTTATATAAAATAGGCAAGACTAAATCGAAAAACGAATCAAATATTTTTTTAAACGCACTTGTTCAATGCTCCCTATTGGTGGCCAACTGTGCAATGGCAATGGCGTCAAGTCAATACAAGTGTTCTCACAGGAAGGAAAAGGGTATAAAATTTGGCAGAGAATTGTTTGTCGGTATCTAGTAAAAAAATCAATCTGTGGTCCTTATAAATGTGGTACTCATTCACTGCAAATCTCAAGAGCCAAAAACGCTCGAGTTGGTGGACACTAGCCCCAACTAGGCTACCATTCAGAAAAAAAAATCAATATCGAATTTGTGAAGAACTTCTGAATGAGTACAAGTAAAGCTGTCCTATCCAATCGACGTACAAACACACCTTTTAATCAGGTCAGTTTAAAAGACAAAACTCTGGATGTAAAATTCAAATGAGGGCTCATTCCCAATGAAACTATCGTTCAACCTAGATCGACCCAACTCTGCAGGGAGTCTAGCTGAATGCAATCAGATTAACAGGTTAACACGCCTTCTCTAGCCGTTGAGTAGAATACAGAAAATCTGTTGACTAAACGAGTACCTTGTAAACAAAAGAAGGTTTGTTAATCTGATTGCATTCAGCGAGAGTCCCGGCGGAAGTGGATTGATCTACGATAGTTTCATTGGAAATGAGCCCTTACACATTGTCAGCGATGGCATTCTGCGTTCAAGGAAACACATTTTATATCTCTCCATCCCAAATTACCACCAACATTCACCTCATCGTCCATATCACACTGCGATTAGATCACACGGAGTATTTATTGGTCAAGGCGGTTTATAAAATAACCTCATTCATGAATTGTCTCGAATATTACATTGAAACACATTATTGCCATTATTAAATATAACGACCTTCACTGAAACAGATATGGCCTATTCAGCAGCACCTGTTATCCCAGATATTATATTGTAACGTTATCATCACACACGAACAGTTTTGCACCTGTTTCATTTCTGGGGTTGCAAAAAAAAAAAACCTTTTTGTATTGAAGGTCAGAGACCCGTTGGCGAAACTTACGGTTCGTGTAACAGAGGCTACTTCCATTTAATGATTCAGGTTACGGTTAGCCTGACGTAAGTGGGTCAAAATCTGGGTCGAGGCTTATCTATGCAAATTAATGGGAACCGGACTGTGTCATGGGGGACTCGCTGTCACGTCGCACCGGTGTCATATACGAGAGAATTCCCCGTGATACAAGGACCGTTCCCCATTAATTTGTGTAGCTATCCCCCACAAAACGGGGCTGTTACACCTGTCTAACGACCCCTTGGTGAGCACTCACGACAAAAGAAAAGGTCGCAACATTCATTGTTCATTAATACCGCTGTATGAATTTGATGTTAACAGTCAAATATTGTCAAAGCCCGACATTTGAAGGGAGTCAGAGTGGGTCGCAAGGAACTTGAACTTGGATATTTTCTAGCCGTTTGGCACCATCGTTCTTTTTAACACACACACACACACACACACACACACACACACACACACACGCGCGCGCACGCACACATGCATGTATGTATGCATGCATGTACGTACGCAGATAAACGTTAGCGCGCACGCGCGCGCGCGCGCACACACACACACACACACACACACGTTAAGACAGGTGCAGATCGCGAACATCTTTATGAATGATAAAACTGTAACGGCCCGTAGTCGGTCTAAACAGTAACCATATTTCCCTTTTTGTAAAACAAGGTTGGTGGCCTACAAAATGTATTTCAAGTTTACTACTACAACTACTACTTCAAGTTTACAACTTCTACCACTACTACCGTGTGCCAAGCGTCCTTACCCCCTATTCCCCTTACCTCTTTACTGGATTACAATGACAGATTGTGAAGAGGGATTCTCTGTCTAGACGACAATTGATTTATTTAAGATCAGTGCACTTATTACGTAGTCGGTTTTGAAGGTAAAACTGATGCTCTTTTGTAAAGAAAGGGAAGAAGACAGAATTGACACGCTACAATGGCCTTCCTAATCCAACCGGAAATTTATCTTCGTGACAGTGTGGTGAGCACAAAAAATTGGAAGGAACTGAGTTGAAGGCATTATCTGATGCTTGAATCAGTGTCGGTATTCGTATGTCTAGCAAAATATATTATCGCAGCTGCTTGTTGGATTAAAACAAAAGGCTCCACACATTGAGGATTCAAATAAGACCTCCATTATAATAGCCGAGGAAACGCAAGTCTGCCTTTTTGGAAAAAAAAAGGGAAGCAGAATTGACCAACCACGTTGCCTGTTGGCCACTCTGGGACTCCACGCCGTTTTAGCAATAACCGCTTAGTGTTAAAAAGAGGCCGGATTGCAAATACTTTGCATTAAGAACAGTGAGAGTGTAGGTGGATCGATATATAGGACTTTATATACTCCCCAGCGTTTATTATTTCCGAAGGTGACGACTACTACTTCCTATATCTGAAATGGTCTCGTTTGATCTAGCCATGTTGTGGTGCTAGAGCTTCGGTCGCTAGAGAAGACACTGACAAATGCTGGGATGTCAACATTAAAACCATCCAACTACGATTATCCTTTATCTGCGACGTTTTTAACGGTAACATATCACGCGACAACAAAGGAAACCAAAAGAAATGGTGGAGAAGATCTTCAAACTTTACGCAATATTTATACGCACGCTTAACACAGACGTTTCATTTGTTTGAATTAATTAAGATCCCACTATAAACACTTGGCACACGTTTTCCTAACCCAAGAGGGTGTCTGCCACCTTCAGCTGTTAGGCCCAATCTCGAAATAAGTTTGAAAATAAAACATTGGCGTGCATCACTTGTATCGGGCAGAAATGAATAAACCTATTTTTCAAATGCATAATTTTAGGTTCACTTATATGTGTTTCTTATATAAAACACATGCAGGCACTCATATGTAAGACTTAAGTTCCATGTAGCTGAAGTTAAATGGTTTTCATGCATGCCATGAGTTAAGAATTCGCATAAAAATGCTGTGTTTGGAAGATGGTGTCACCATTTCAAACGGATACTACGTGTCTTTTGACTTAAGCACAGATTATCAACAAAGATTAGGGACAATGGTCGTACTAATACTAATAGTTTACTAATAGTTTAATGAGTTGTCGACATGAGCTTCTGGTTGATTGAGCGTGGAGTGCACCCTTTTCTACACAGGATAATTACATTCTTCTTTCAGACACGAACTTGGAAGTATTACATTTGATTTAATAAAAATGCACGTTACAAGGAGGTGAGAGTTACCAAGGGTGCTTTCCCAGAGATTTAGATCGATCTAAAGATTAAGTTTTAGATCGACCTAACTCCCTGGGGGTTCACGCTAAATTGCAGTCAGCCGAGCGGGCACCATAGTTAATTACCCCCTTACAGCTTTTAGATGGCGGGACAGACGCTTAAGCCGGCCAAGCTGACAGTAATCTAGCGAGACTCCCCACAGGGCCCACAGGGATAGATCGATCTAAAAATCTATGGAAATGGGGTGCAAGTTCTGAAAATGCGACTATTGCTTTTAAAACGGACATAAGATTAATTCATACTTCTTTTAATTTTAGCCACAGGGTTGTAAAATGTTGACACCCTGGGGTGAATCTTTTCCTCTCTATTTGATCACTATCTAGGGGAGTAGAATAACAACTGCAAATGTTGTTAACTATCACTATCACCTCAAATTTACTTCAGAATGTGGCCAGTTGCAGGAAAAGTAAACAAAAATAAATATATAAATAACAACGATATTAATAAATTAATTAAAATATTTGCGAAAATACACCGATGAGGGCCCATACTGACAAATAGCCATTTACTGAACTGTATTCCCGGTTTGTCGCCCATCTTTGTAAGTTGAAGTCGTTATCAACTGCATTCACATTATCTCAGGCAAGTTGTTTTTCACATTTGTCCTGCTCAAGTGATGCTAATATTTAGTTCGGACACTGAGTGGACAATTGTAGCAGTTAATAGATGTACAGAGGTCACGTGTTAAGTAAAGGTCGGGAGGTACAGGAGAGACAAACGCTTGGGATCATATTAATATATAGGGTCTGCTCAAACACAGAACAGATTAGCCATCAAGAAACCGTAAATAACTCTTTCACGCCAAGACTCCTGATGTGCCGTCACCAACAAAGTTACCATAATTTACATGAAACATAATGAAGACCATGAACATGATAAAGTAATATTATAACGACCAGTATACATATAAAGACGTTTTAAGCCCGATTTTGGCTACTGGGATAAATTCCGTTTATAACATGCGTTGGAATTGTCACCAGGCCCGTTATGGGCTCAACACCCAAGATCAAAAGTTAAGCCTACAAGGTCATCATTAGCAAAATTATCATACTTTTAAATTTTGGCTAAGGGGGTATATGTCTTTTATAGTGTGTGACTAAGTGTCACCCGAAATAAGAAGCAGAGCTTACAAAGTCAGTTTACTTTGAACGGTATATACCTTAGCGATGCAGCTTTGTCGATATGTGAAGGGTCTCAGTTCCCGCTTGTCAGTTGCAGGTCAGGCGCAGATGATCCAGATTATTTGAAGGGGGGAGGGGGGGGATGGTTCCGAAATGACAGACCTCAGATGCGAAGCCGGTCATCGCCCCCTTGGCGTGGGGTTCTGGTCACAAATATAAGATAGAAATAGTTATCTGTTTTAAACCAGTGTTTTCAGTAACCACGACGTCTAGCCGTGCACATCTACGTAAAACAATCACCTCTTCATTCAACTTGCGCAATTCTTCACGTAAGCTTGACATCTCCGACAACCATCTATGAGAGCATTGTTTTAAGGGGAGCATAAAAACCCATGCGCCGCTCCAGGCAGGCATCTTTCCAGCCGATAGCGCAGACAGATCACCCACAGACCAGGTGAGCATTGAATGTTCTTGCAGGGCCAAAGTATTTCTGTCTGTTTCGAAAGCGGAATACATTTTTGGATCCACTTGGGAGTATTCGTTAAGGGTAAAGTATAGCAGGGTTAAGCTATAAGAGAAGAGGCCCTAAATGTTTTCGAAAAAAAGTTCGATTGCATTAGAATACCTCTGTGAATTTTGAAGTCCGTTTCTATGTACAAATAAAACTGATGTAAAGTGGTAAACCAACGCCAAAAGAAGGGTATCCACAGAGATAACGAGGCAGAACAATATGGTTGTAAACTGCTGTCCGAACATGATGCCATCTTGAAGTAGAGGAATGAAAATTTCCTGGAAGGAATAAAATTTCAATGAGGAATGTTAAGTGTCTCTAAGTCGAAATCTCGGCGAAGCATTTATTTTTTATCTTTGATCTTCTAGGTCCGACATGATTCGCCTTATTCTCCTCGCCTTGGTGGGCTGTGCCCTCGCCGATGAATACTATGGTAAGTAGATTTCGCTCATATGTTGTTGTAATAAATGTATTTTAATTTTGTGTACGGATCAAGGAGATTGCTCTAGACCTCAGTGCAAAGTCAAGTTTGAGAAGGCCAGGATGGCACACGCTATTTTACATTTTGCCATTATGATAGGCTTTTGCAGGATTCGCATATGAGTTTTAAGGTGTAACGGTATCATTAAAAATAAACAATCAAAATATCAAGTTGATAAGAATTTTCATTTCTAAAATGATTCCATATATCCAATTAATCCTATTCGTTGAAATATATACAGTTGGAAAATCGATGCCTATAGAACATTTTTAAAAATTCGTTAACAGCGCCGCCACCTCCTGCCCCATTGAAGGATTTCTGCAGGAAGTGTATTGAGGAGAGAAATGGCGTAGGCTACTACGAGAACCCGGACGACTGCGCAAGTTACCTTCAGTGCGACTTGGATGATGACCTTAACACCAAGGTTCACGTGAGGGAATGCGCCGAGGGTTCTCTCTTCGATCGTGACATCGTTACCTGTGTCCCATGTGAGGTCGCCACCTGCCCAGGCAGCAGGGTACCCAACCCACAGTGCCCACCAAGAAGTGAGTCGATGATTATCATCTTTTTCCGAGAACAATGTGTGCTTATTTCTATATCTATTAATTTCAGAAAGGGAAAAGTTTGCATTGTGAAAGGAAAGGATAAAAACGTACGTTCTAAACTAAATATGTACATGCCCTTTTGGATTTTTATGTTTAAAGTAACCATAATCACGGAAAACAATTTTACTTTATTTTCGCAGCCCCTCCACCAACCACCACCCACGCCTACACCACCCTTCCCCAGTTTGACGGCAAATGTGACGGTCCTGACGGATGGACCTACTTGGCCGTCTGGGGTGAAGCCAACATCTTCTACAGATCCCAGACCCTTGGTGATGATACCAGAATCGAGCGTGTCAGCTGCGGACCCTGGGAGTTCAGTGTCCAAAAATGCATGTGCGTGGTTCCAGGTACGTTGACAAAGCGTTTTCAACACAGAATTTCATTAATCTGTGAAAAGGCAGGAAAAAAAGAACTTATCAATGTCATAAAATGACCATTATACATTCGTATTGGTATGAACACATTATACGATGTGCATCTCATTCAACATAATTGCCATAACAAGTGTCGATGTTTTTTTTTTAATGTCTACTTTGAAAATAGCTTAAATGGCTAAAACATTCCTTGCAGATCTCCAGGCAATTGCCCTGTGGGCTTTCGATGAGAACACTGACACCTCCGTCGATAACTTCTGGACAGACTGCAGTGGCGTAGAACTTTCCGACGGTAAAGTCGGCAACGCTGCTAGCTTCAACGGCTCCGTCCACTGCGAGGTCCCACGTTTCAACAACTACCCATGGGGCGCCGGCCTCACCATATCTTTATGGGTCAGGGACGATGGTGGCAAAGGACGGTCAGGTGTTATTAGCAACGGCAACTGCGCTATCGAGCCAACCATCTCCATCTGGTCTGAAGGCGGTCGTCTTGGAGGACGTGTCCTGGTTGACAACAACGGCACCCTCCTCACCATCGATCTCGGCTCAAGCGTGAGTATTATATTTGTCCAAAGTGGTTCGACATAAGTTCTGATTTTTGCACTTGAATATTTTACAACGTGCTTAAAATGTGAATACACTTTGTTATGAAAATAAAACGTCTCACCACATTCGTAACCGTTAGATATTTGAAAAATAATTAAAATAAATATTGATGCTCTATATGCAGGGTGGCAGTGGATGGAACCACGTCGCTTTGGTCTACGATGGTCTAAGACTGAGGTTGCTCGTCAACGAACAAGTTGTCGTTGATGAGATCGCTGTTGGTAAGTGCTCCTCTATTACCAATTTTAACACGCATGCGCAATTTAATGAAAAACCTACGAAAACTAAAATAAAGGTACTTCTTTAAAAATTTTAATTTAGGAATTTCTTTGAAGGCTATTTTAAACTGTTTTTTTTTGTAGTTTATTATAGTACTACTAATTGTATTTGCAAAATATTTGTTAACTTGTGTTAGTGCGGCACATTTTGATTTTAGATAGGGAAACAAAGGTATCAGGACAATCGAAATTTCATGATAAAGTTACACAAGTATTATAATATATAAGGTGTTCAATAATTAAACCATATCTACATCCATCTTGTTTTTATTCCCCCTCAGGCGCTATCCCAGCTACCCTTGCTCCATTGTACATGGGCAGAGACTTGAACTGCGAGGCCGTCGATGCTCGTTACAGCAACACTAACCTTGTTGGATCCATTGATGAGGTAGTTATTTATCTATTATTTATGTTATTCCCACCGCAAATTTGACTTCTCGTTATAAATCAGACTAATATTCTAGAAATTTTGGGGAATAATCCTTTTTGTATTAATGTTACATTAAAAGGTGAAGACACGTTGACAGAAAAATGAGTGTACAGAAAGGGGAAACGGATCCGTGGCTTAGATTATAAAAGAAAATAACTCAAATATATATATTAATCATCATCTGGTCCGTCGCGTATTATGCCGACTGTGCACCCAAGTATATTTATTAACAGCATGTCTCTAGCCATCCCAGTTCTTCACCTTCTTGCATACCCAGTCCCACTTTCTCCACTCCATTCTTTCAAATTTCCAATCCAGTATGTTCGAGGTCTACCTCTTCCTCGCTGTCCTTGCATTCCATCTTCCATCCATATATATTTAGTTATTTAATGATATATTAATTTGTAAAATCAGTATCATTGACAAACAGGCAAGAAGTGTTCAATAACTTTGGGTTTTTCTTGCTTTTCAGGTCCAGATCTACGACTGGGCTCTTAGCGACTCCCAAGTGTGGAAAGTCTACGCTGGTGAGAGAAACATTCAGATGGCCAGATCTTAAATCAAGGTCATTTGATTATCATTGATGATCACCACGGTTAACGACAAAAAGGTGAAGCTTATTGACGTGGAAATCTAATGAAACGGATTTTGGTCACGATTTCGATAAGTTCCCCCTAATGCATGTAATAGGAATCGAACAATGCCACAGTTAGTTGAACGTCATGGTGACAAGATGTTCATGTAACTGTTTATTCAGTGCAGTATTTTTATACCTAGGCTAGTAATCTGTGTTCATTGTTGTATTTTATTACACACGTTATCAGTGTAGTTAAAACTACCTAGAACTTCTCCCATTTATGAAATATTCATATTTATTATACTACTGAATCCCGTATTAGAATAAAGACTGCTTCTAGCAAATCTATTAAACCTCTTTGTTTGTTCGTTTTTCAAAATTACTGGGAATCTCACGCAAGGATGATATGAATATGAATGTATTTGAATTTTGTGCGTAATATTATATACATCTGTCGGTTATCACTCACGTTATTGTCACTTACAGAATTTACACTGAAACCAGGTTTCAGGCTCATCCCCTCAACTTACCCTGAAATATTTAGAATATTTTAAGTACTGGAAGTGGTGATGTTAAAATTGTGAGCGCATGGGGTATAAGTGATCCCGCCTTGGTTCCTTTTCATATCGTGGGGTGTACCTAGAACCCTATCTGCGTCGCCATCTTTTGAAACATTCAACATTTGAAACAGCAAGGCATAATCTTGAAAGGGTCTGTAGCACAGATATCAAATCTATGCGTAAGTGCAGAGAGCGCGTTCTTAAGAATGAAAATATGAGGAAATTGACAAAGCCTTTCAGTATTGGTTGTTCCAGATTAAAAAAATCTTTAAATATAAATGTAATAAGCATACTATAAAGAAAAACTATGCTGTCTGACCTTCAAATAACCTTAAAATGGATATTTTGTTGAAATTATTTCAAGCCTCCAAAAATCGTCTGCCTGACCAACATGTAGATTTGCAACAAGCCTCAAAGATTCGAAGCCTGTGCTAGCTTCTGCTAAAACACAGATCATATAATCGATAATCATTTTAAATAGTAATAATAATAAAAAATGATCCCCGGTGCTAAGACAAAAAGCCTGTTTTACAAGCACACACGACTCACAGCCAAAAGGTGAGCTTACAAAAAAACAGGAAATGTATTGAGGAAAGAAATGGCGTAGATTATTGCGAGAACACGGACGACTGGGCAAGTTACCTCCAGTGCGACTTGTTTGATGACCTTAACACCAGGGTTCACGTGAGGTAGTGTGCCGAAGGTACCCTCTTCGATGGTGACATCGTTACCTGTGTCCCCTGTGAGGTCGCTCCCTGCCCGGGCAGCAAGGTACCACACCTACGGTGCCCATAAAGGAGTGAGTTAGTTAATGAATATCATCTTATTCCGAGAACCATGTGTGCTGATTTGTGTTTTTATTCAAAATTTAATGAAATGGAAAGTGATATAAAACGTAAGATTATTCATCTTTCCAGGCTGATAGAATATAGGAGTATAACAACAACGACCTTTGTTACACATCATCTTACATTTGCTTGGGGAGGTCACTGATTAAAAAACAAGTCTGTGGGTGGTATTGCCTTACATTTCAGAAGGAAATGAATATTTATTTTTTTATTGGGAAAAAATTGGAAGAAAACGACCAAAACTTACATTATGCAAATATAAATGATTTTCTGATATAAAGCAGCCTTTTCAGTAACCACAACGTCCAGCCGTGCCCATACAGTAAACAATCATCTCTTCATAAGGTAGTGCAATACTTCACGTAATTTTGACATCTGTGACGGCCATCTATGAGAGCATTGTTTTAAGGGGAGCATAAAAACCCATGCGCCGCTCCAAACGGATATCTTTTCAGCCGATAACGCAGACAGATCATCCACAGACCAGGTGAGCATTACAAATTCTCGTTGCAAAAAAAGTCACTTTACCCTTTGTTAAGGGTAAATTAAAGTATATAGAATTTAGCATAAAAGAAAGGGTCTTAAATGTTTTCAAAAAAAAAAAAAAAAAAAAAAAATGTTCAATTGCACTAAAATATCTCTTAGAATTTAAAGTCCGTTTCTGTGTACAAATAAAGATGATGTAAAGTGCTATACCAACGCCAAGAGAAAGGACCCCCCTCCCCAGAGATAACGAACCAGAACAGTACGGTTATTGATTGCTGTCTGAACACGATGCCATATTGATTTGGAAGAAGGGATGTTTCTCTTGTCGAATCAAATTTCGATGAGAAATGTTTAAGGTCGGCGAACCATTATTTTTTATCTTTGAACTTTAAGGTCCGACATGCTTCGCCTTATTCTTCTCGCCTTGGTGGGCACTGCCCTCGTCTCAGCCTACAAAGGTAAGTTGATTTCACTCATTTTTTCAAGGTTGGATTGTACTTAATGACAAAATTCATTTGGTCTTGTAATAAAGATATTTTACCATTACCCTGGCTGGTTGCAGGTATCTAGGAATTTCATTCAAAACTCTCCTTGGAGCCGAGAAGGCAAATTTTGAAACAATGCTCATTTTTGGTGTAATAATAAGGGGGCCTACTCCAAACTTCAGTGCAAGCTTAATTTTCCCTATTTGGGAAGCCAGGATGACCCGTGCTTTTTCTGCATTTTGCCATTATGATAGAGTTTTGCAGGATTTGTTTAAGAAGTTTCAGGTGAAGACGTATATTATGAATCACTTATCAAAAGAAAAAAGTTGCTAAGCGTTTTCATTACTTATTCATATAAAAAGTTAAATTTAACTGATATATACAGTTGGAAACTTGGTGATTAAGGGAATTTTCGATATATTCGTTAAACAGTACCACCTGAATTGAAGGCCTTCTGCAAGAAGTGTATTGAGGAGAGAAATGGCGTAGGCTACTACGAAAACCCGGACGACTGCGCAAGTTACCTCCAGTGCGACTTGGATGATGACCTAATTACAAGGGCTCATGTTAGGGAATGCGCTGAAGGTACCCTCTTCGATCGTGACATCGTTACCTGCGTTCCATGTGAGGTCGCCACCTGCCCAGGCAGCAAGGTGCCACACCCACAGTGCCCACCAAGAAGTGAGTCAATTAATATCATCACATTCCGAGAACAACGTGTGTGAATTTATTTCTAATAAATTCACAAAGGAAAAGAATATTTTTGTATCGTGTCAGAAGGGGATGAAAACGATATTAGCCAAAATGTGCACACGTGCTTTGGCAATTTCATTTTTTATAGTTTTGATTTTTCCAGAAATCGGATTGATTTTACCTTTTTGTCTTTTTCCTCAGCCGCCCCACCAACCACCACCCTCGCCTACACCACCCTTCCCCAGTTTGACGGCAAATGTGACGGCCTTGACGGATGGACCTACTTGGCCGTGTGGGGTGATGTCAACACCTTCTACAGATCCCAAACCCTTGGTGACGATACCAGAATCGAGCGTGTCAGCTGCGGACACTGGGAGTTCAGCGTCCAAAAATGCATGTGTATGGTTCCAGGTATGTTGACAAAGAGTTTTCAACACAGAATAGAGCTCTGTGATTTAGAAAAAGAAGATTAAATCATCAAAGCACCATTATTTCGTATATACATTCGTAATAGTATGGAATGATTCAAACAATAAAATCATAGTTTTATTAAAATATCTGATTTGAAAATCACTCAAATTACTTTTACATTTCTTACAGATCTTCAGGCTATCGCCCTGTGGCCTTTCGATGAGAACACCGACACCATCGTCGATAACTTTTGGACAGACTGCGCTGGTGTAGAGCTTTCTGACGGTAAAGTCGGCTACGCTGCTAGCTTCAATGGCTCCGTCCACTGCGAGGTCCCACGTTTCAACAACTACCCATGGGGCTCTGGCCTCACCATCTCTTTATGGGTCAGGGACGATGGCGGTAATAAAGCACGTGAAGGTGTTCTTAGCAACGGCAACTGCCATATCGAGTCAACCATCTCCATTTGGTCTGAGGGCGGTCGTCTTGGAGGCCGAGTCCTGGTTGACAACAACGGTACTCTCCTCACCGTCGACCTTGGCTCAAGTGTAAGTGTTGAAAATATTTTAAAACGTGCTTAAAAACATAAATGTGAATACTTTTTGTCATAAAATGGGATACGTTTCACCGATACAGAGTTGAATAGTAATTAAATATGAATTTTCTACGTGCAGGGTGGCAGCGGATGGAACCACGTGGCTTTGGTCTACGATGGTCTCAGACTGAGGCTGTTGGTCAACGAACAAGTTGTCGTGGATGAGATCGCTGTTGGTATGTACTTCTATTACCAATTTTTATACGCATGCGCACTGTGGTATCCAATTTTTCGGCACTGAAAAACATGATAACTTTCACCTCCTAGCTATATACTGTTGATATCTAAGCTCTAAAACGTAGATAAATATTTAAACAGTTTGCACACCTACCTTTTAAATTTGGGATGTATTTAAAGGGGATTTTAACCGTAACTGTTTTGCTTCGTTATTATTCAACCACTTCTATTGGATAACACCCATCCATGTAAGCGTAAGTGCGGCACATTTGTTTTTGGTGGGGAAACGAAATTAAATTTCATTATGAAGTTTGTGGAAATATCCCGTTCAATTACAATGATTTTACATCCACCTTTTTATTATTTTCCCCTCAGGTGCTATCCCAGCTACCCTTGCTCCACTGTACTTGGGCAGAGACTTGAACTGCGAGGCCGTTGATGCTCGTTACAGCAACACCAACCTTGTCGGAGCCATTGATGAGGTAGTTATTTATTTACCAATTTTGAAATTCCAATCTGGAATTTGTTTCTGTGTTATTCATTAGATTCGTAGTCCAAAAACTTTTGAGAATAACTCCTTTTAATTAAATATAACATTATAAGATTAAGACGTACTGGAAAGATGTATTTGTTTAAAAAGTCACTGAAAGATATATGTTTTAGTCAATTTATGTGGCATAAATTCGTAAAATCACTATCACTGAGAAACAGGTTTTAACCTTTAAAA